GGTTTTAGCTAGACTAGTTTGACTAAAATGTTCAATATAATCTGATGACTAAAAAAGACTAAAATGTCAACAGTTTTCATTGACAAAAAGTAGACTAAAATAGTTAGTTTTCTTTACTAAAATAAGACTAAAATGCTCAGACTTTTAGTCGACTAAAACGTAACTAAATAAAAACAGGATGAAGGTGACTAAATATGACTAAAACTAACAAGGACATTTGACACAATAATTATGATGATGAATGCATTTTTTTACCACTAAAATACAGCAACACATCTTTGATTCATGTCGTTTATAACTGGAATATTACAGTTATTATTAACTTTGTCTGTACAAAGTAGCCTGTCCAGGAAATATGCCCAAATCAACAAAAACTGCGAGCCGGCAGGCAAGACGCTCCGCTTCTGAAATGCTTCTGAAACGCGCCTGGTAGGGTATGACGCCGGAGGAGGCCGGACCAAAACCGCGGTGCAGCCGTGACGCGGTGCAGACGGACCCGGTGGAATCTAGGGGTAAGACTAAATAAAAAAATAGCTGACAAAATGAACACTAGTAAGCACCCCCCCATATATTGCATGTGTGGCTCATAGCTTATGTGAGCATAAAAAGAAACGCAGTGAGTCAGTCAACTGAGAAGAAATGGAGATTATCTTATGATGCTGTACATGATAACTTGTACATACACTGAAATAAACATAACCTTAATAAAGACCTCATGTCTTCACCCAGAAAGAAAAAGGTTTCAAATTTCCTTTTTTTTTTTTTTGATCACACAAGTCTTTAGGGTGGTATTAACATAATGACTAACACAAACTAAAAAAATATATTTTAATTTTTGTTTTATTGTGTATCCTTTGTAGAGGACATTGGGTGTTAGTTATGTGAAGCATAGTATACAAACAACATTAACATACAAGTACATTTAGACAACATTAGAGCAACTCAATGCAACAAATACTGAGCCCTCATTTGTAGTAATGCAGAGATACATCTGACACTTGAGGCACTTGATATGTGTTCCCACTGCATCCGTCTGCCATGAACCCTACGTGTTAGTTTTGGCCCATAGTGGGCGACGGGCCTTTTTTCTGTAACTGTCTCCTGCTCTTCCTAAGTCAATGCCTCCTCCTCTGAGTTATCAACCTCTTCCTCTTCCTCAATCACTGCCTGTGGATCCTCATCATCTGACAGGTCTATGTCTGAGTCTCCCTCAATGATTCTGTTCAAAATTCTCTCTGCCTTGGTTAGTGAGCTGCCTCCATTTGTGTTGGGGGAAATAAAAAGTTAGCAAATCCCCTCAGAGGACATTCATAAAAACATTTAGTTTTAGGTCAAATAAGTATTACACTGCTCTGAAAACTCACTACACTAACTCCTAAGATGTTCCCTTACTATCATTAGTTAAAAATATTGAACTCACAACACTGGTAATTACAAAATTACTTTCTATAAATAGTGCTTGTGTTGATGGACGTCATTTTGAAATACAATGAAATGATCTTTTTCAAAGCCACACCCCCACATATGTCACATGTCTGAAAAGCCCAGGATGTCCTCTGTGGAGTACAATTGGACTTAATGCTGTGGCATGTATAACCTCAAAGTAATGGACCAAAAACCGATGTGCACCACAGAGGACAAAAATGAATGGGTGGGTCTCTGGAGGACACGCACGCATGTAAGTGTGTGAAGAATTTACCAGATAATGAGGAGCAATTACAACACTCAGGATGCTTTTTATCAGCTGTTATTTATTTATGAGACCCGGGCTGCATTAGCACACACCAACATGCTCACACAGAGATACTAATGCAAAGTGAAACATCCCAGCACCGTCAGGCACAGAGAGGTGGCACACATTCAGCTGGAACGGGCTCAGAGCTGACACACATACAATGGTCATTTGTAGGTGGGGGGGGGACAGTGATGCTTAAATCTGTATGTCGCTAACTGCAGCAGCATATCTACAATATATTTCATCATCATACTAATAATAATGATGTCTCTGTGTTTTGTATCTGAGTTCGTATTATTATTATTATAATATCTCCACATCCTCAGTAAACAAGAATCAATAGCTGTCTATTGGAACTTAAAAGGCCCTTAATCATTAGGTAATAGTACAGCAAAGTATTTGCTAGGATTTTGTGCTCATTCAAAGCTAGTATATTATGTAGGGCTGAAAATAAATGTTCATATTTTTAATAAAACATTTTGTTTTCCTGGCACTAAAGTGGAATAAATAACAGAACAAATAAAATTTTAAATAAAAGTAAAATACCGGCAGTGTAAGAAAACGTTTTTAGAGAGTACTTGTCCATGGACAAGTGAGTTTGGCAATTTACTTGTCCGAATACATTTTTCACTTGTCCAATCTGGGGCCACTGGAATCTTCTTCTTCGCCATCGTATTTTACCTTTTCCCACGGTTTTACTACACTGCTAACGTACAGTAAGTGAGCGGTAAGATTTTACTGCATCACACATAGGGTTGGGTTCTTATTATGCATCCATGGTTGGGTATCATTTGGATTTTAACGATTCCGGTTATGCTTTTCGATTCCGGTTCTTTTCGGTTCCGGTTCTTTTCGGTTCTCGATTCCGGTTCTTTGAGAGGGTGAAAATAAGTCCCATGCCAATTTCCCTGGGAGAAAAATATATTTATGAAAACATTAAGTCAAATCTGTATTCCTATTTACGAATCACTTCATACCGTTTTCATTTTGTTACGGTTATTTTGTTACTGCACTCATCAGACCCTACACTGAACTGTAAAAAGGCAAATGGGCTTCACATTACAGCACAGCCATTTCCCTAACAACCAGCATGGCATGTCTCTGTTTTCCTTCACACAAAAAACATGCCACTAAAATGAAGAAATTATTACTTTGATTTAATTCCAAAGTGATCATGAAATCTGGGGCACACATTAAATGAGGCTTTGACTTTTTTTGGCCATAACATTTTGATGGAAGCTTTTGTCCTTACAATGCGCAGACTGTACCGCAAACGTTTGCATTGACTCACTTTTACACCAACATCCTAATGGGAAATGCAATCAATAGTTTTCCTGAAAAACAGTGATTTTATTTTAAACTGGGGCATGAATTTGTTGCTGTTGTATGGTGCAGTTTACACAACTGTTCTTCTTAATAGCTGGAAGTAATGTTAGGCAAAACATTAAAGGTTGATTTCACCTAATCTTAAAATAAGAACATTTTGTCAAAAAAATAAGTACATTATTGACATTGGCAAAAGTAATTTGTCTCGACTCAAGTTCAGTGTACTTTTTTGAAAAGCTTTCAATCACTTATTTGATTATTTCTACTAAGGTTGAATGCTTCAGAAAAAGCAGAATAGTCAATTATTTGACTTATTATATTTGTACATGAACTGCCGGAAATAAAAATACAATTGTTATAAAAGCATAGATTTCTTTTTGCCACATGGCCCACAAGTGAAGAGAACAGTGTAAAGCCCCACTGCAGCCGGACTCAGAAGGTCAGCGCAGCACTAATAACCAGCTGCTCCCTGCAGAGGCCAGGCAGGGTATAAGCAATGGGCTGACCTGACCTCCACACTGCTGAAGCCCACTGAGTACTGAGAGCTCTGCTGGAAGCTCATTTTTCAACCAGAGGTCTAACTGACTGAGAGTATAAGAGATGACCTGAGCATGGGGTCTAAGCTGCAGCACACAATCTACAGCCATGCTCCCGCTTCTTGCTAGAAACATTACAATACAATTTGCTCACATTAAATAACAAACTATGACATAACAAAACATAATCACAGTGGAAAGACACGCCTTTTATTCTTGAGTTTAAATATAAAAGTTCTGATAGGACAGTGTGTCCTATAAGCCTGGACTCATTACATGTATGGTACTGGGACTTACTTCAGTGTGATTTAAAACCAAGGCAAGCACAGCCTCAGTTTCAGTCTAAGATGCTGTAGCTCCATCTGCTGTTTCATGTTGCAAAAATCCTCCATCTCTTCCACAAACACACAGGAACATACATACCTTTCTCTACAGTCATCCAGAGCTAGAGTGCAGTGCAGGAAGTCTAGCCTGCAGTAATCACTAAAAGAGAAGACCAGAAAATCTGTCCACTCTCTCAGCCTTAAAGGCCGGCAGCCCTTCACATCATGACCAGAAATCAGTGGGTCAAAATATTTGACTGAACAACCCAAGAATAAGAACTCATCTGAACAAATATAAAAATAGGACCCCGTGAAATGTTGCACAAAAGAGTGGGCATGCTGCTGTCCTGTTACTTAACAGGACTAACTGATTCACTTTACAGCCATCTTAGGCTGAATGTCCATATCAAGTTTTTTTTCTGATCCCCCTTTATCAGTTGTCCTAAAGGAAGAGCGAGGTGGTGTGTGGTCGCATGGCTTTACCTTTCTGGTTGCACTGAGCACTTGTTGAACGTTTTCAGAAAAGCAATGCTGTGACTGTATAAAATGAAGGAGAAGCTTGGCCGTGTTTGCTAATCATGAGCTGTATTTTTCAGACCGAATGGATCATAGAAAGCAAAGTAGCGATGCTAGTCCATCATATAGCTGCTGTTAGTGGTGATTTGTTAGGATGTTGAAGTGCTACCACCGTCCTAATTTCAGGGTTTACCCCAGAACAGTTAGACCCCCTTCACCTTTATCAGGTGTTGGTTTTCAGGAGGTGTAGCATTTCAAATCAAAGATAATTAAACCACACACAAATTGTGCTCATTTCACACACATGCTTCCTAAAACGAATGAGCTTAACAAAGATGATTTGTGGGTGTTGGTGGCATATTAGCAAGTTAATTCAATCTTAATTATAACTCGCAATCGCACACAAACTCCCTCTAAATCTCTCTGTCTGTGTGTGTTGCTCTTTCTCTTAGCCACACTCATCAGTGTTAATCACAGCCAAAGACAGTTATTACTACCTGGTGTCAAAATACTCCCTCTTGCTTTGGGTGTCTTGGCCTTCATTAGTAAAATCATGGAGCCTACCTGAGTCGTTGCGCAGGTAGGAGGACATGGCGGGGATGAGGCAGGACTGGCAGAGCAGCTCCTGCAGCACGGCGGGCAGCGCAGAGCTGTTGGAGGCTCGGCTCTCTGCGGAGCACGCCTCCGCACTTTGGCAGCTGCTGGAGCCGGCTGGGTTGATGTAGCTTGCTAACACCTGGTGAGAAAAACAATGTAGACACACTGTTAGACCAATTACCAAAAAACCCTGTCCACTTTGTCTTAATTGACACATTTAAGTTCACACTTTACATGTATCTGGTATTTGTTTTTTTAAATATTGATAATATGTGCATACTAAGTTATTTTTATATGCAAGTCTATTCTCTTCACTTTATCAGCACTATACTTCTGCTGTTGTACTAATGTACATTTCCCCATTGCTGGGACAATGTTGGAATTCTGAAAGAAGTTTAGGCTCCATCCAAATTATTTTCAAAAGTGGCTTTGAAATGATTTGACATTGAGTGGACTCACCTGCAGCAGACAGGTGACGTGTTCCTCTTCTAGCCGCTGTTTGGTGAGGGCCTGCTCCACGTCCCAGCCTGAGGCTGTGGATCCAGTTCCAAAACCAGTCCCTTTAGCCCAGTACAGCTGCTGCTCCTCACTGGTGCTACCACCGTGACAACTGGACATCTGTGGCTGCCAACACACACAATAATGTTTAGAGTTAGACGGATGGCTCTGGGTTGGGGATTTAAGAACACTCATTCTGAGAATGTATTACATTCCCCTTGTTTTTAAGGACAATGCTTGCCAGTGTATTGTTGGAGTGGAAAATAGAAATGGTTTATATTCTCTGGCCCCTGAATAACACTCATTAGTTTCAGGGGTGTGTCAACAGTATTAGCCACATAGAAGACACTGTCCAGACACTCGCTTATTGTCAATACATCTGGGTGAGACATACACGCTTTGATTGACCTCTGTCTGTCATTTTTGGTTGTAAAGTTTCATGAGACTAATTATACAGCAATGTCAAGTTTAAAAAATGCTCTCAAGGAATACAAAGAAATGTCTACTATAGGAACTATCCCACATAACTAAAATTGGGCTCATTTAATCCAAAAGGCTCTCACCTTTTCTGACATACATGTCTGAAAAGGTGTATTCAGATACATTCAAATACACCACTATGGAATAATGAAAATAAAACATTTGTACATCAAGCAAACAACTTCATGTTTGTTTCCCTATACAGCCTCATATTAGAAAAATGTAGGAATGTCTTTAAAGGAAAGACTCTTGGATAGCTTAGAAAACATTTTCATTCAGATATCTAAAGGTAATACGTCAAGGAACCTAAATAAGGAGATTAACATTTCTTCCCGACAAGCTATCACAGCATGCTTATGTTTTTCTAGCTTTATATGAATAATATATAGTATATAGGAGCCAACATGGATGAAAAACATATTTTTTGTTTCTGAGTTGATGTTCTTATTTTGTGCTCTTATTGAAGCTCTTGGACTGGGGGGACTGAGGGACGGCCACAGCGACAGGTCTCTGGCTTGTCACACAGAGGGGTGTCACCAAAACAACAACAAACACTAGGCATGCTGCTACCCTCTTTACACAGGTTCCAGAACATGGCTGGCCCTATTCAAGTCTGTGTATGTGGGCTTGTGTGTGAATAACTCTGCTGCTTGGTATGTGTGAATAACTCTGGTGTCTGCTTCCACCCGACACTGCGTCCACATCACCCGACACTGCGTCCACATCACCCCTATCCTCCACGACCCCCACTGGCTACCCTTCAAACACCAGATTGACTTCATGATATCACTCAATACATCCAAAGCCATCAACAACCTTGGCCCTGCCCCCCCCCTGCAGCCCATCAGGACTGAGCTCCGGACCTGGGGCGACAGGGAGTTCGCTGCAGCCCCCCCCCCCCCCCCCCCCCCCCCCCCCCCCCATAAGGGTCTTTGAGCACTAGGAAAAGATGTATTATTTTTGAACAGTGACCGTACCTCGGACACGCTGCTGTTGGCGTTGGGGTTGCGGGGGGCGTGGTGGCTGAGGGCTGACAGACAGGCCAGGATGAGGTGGATTGCTCCGATCTCCAGAGCCATGCGGCGCAGCAGGACTCCGTCATCAGTGGTCAGAGGGGTGGTGCTGAACAGCGCCCGCAGCACGTGGAACGGCAGCGTGGGCAGCACGTTGGCGGACGGAGACTGGAGGATGTGACCTGAGAGGAAGCCAAAGCAGAACATTGATTTACTTGTCATCTGAAGACAATGTGATGCTGCTATGAAATTGTTTTGGTATTTGTAATGACCTATGTCTTTCCGCTGAATAATGACACTATTGATATTCTGTTTGTGTCTGTCTAGCTGCGGCCTGATGTCTCACCAAACAAGATAGTTTAAATGAAAGACGTTGATAGTTATCGAGTATTTTTCCGAGTGGAAAACTACGTCGGTGAGAAAGAAAAACCCAGTTTTATCCCACAGGCCATAAGACTGTTAAACTCCTGAGCTCTGTGATGTGCCTTCATAACATTAAGCATCCATCGGTTTGGATTTTACACATTTATTTATTAGTAGTACAATAAGCATTATTGTATTCCTGTAAAGTATTACATTTTACATTCTGTTTTTTATTCTATTTGACATGTATATAGTCTACCTTTCCTGAATTGCTTCCATATTGGTCACTTGCAACATTCTCTTCAACTATTTCATTTAATTCTGTATCTTTTTTGCAATATTTGTATTGTTTTATGTTTATTTATATTGCATTGTTGAAGGAGAATTTACATTTTTCATAACTACACTATAGCTACTGTGGAAATGCCAAGAAAACCTTTGAACATGTACAATTCAGATTCAAATCTGACACTGCTGTGTGACCTCTCACCAAACAAGATGGAAAAGATACTCTGACATCAATAACCCATCAACGTCTTTGTACATTCTGTTCTTATTTATCTTATGATGTTTACATGTAAATAGACTCCTGCATTTACTTGAAGCATTCTCTGCTAAATGAAGCTTATTGTATTTTACAGGTATATATTTCACTTCTTCTGCATTACTTGCGCATTAGTCTTGCACTACTTTATTTCTATTTTGTTATTTCTTGCAATATTTGTATTTTTGTTTTATTTGTTTTATGTCTTATATATATTATGTTGCATTGTTGGAGGAGTCTGGGACTTAAGATTTTGTATATCACAATAAAACATTTGAATCTTGAGATGAATATTAAACTGACTAGAGAAGTAAGAATCAAATCAGACATGAAAACCTCCATTTGTTTGTGAGGCACACTCTGATGGTACTGGCAGCTGATTGGTCAGACTTACTTCCCTCTCCGTCGTCTGTGACCCCCAGCACCAGGCGCAGCAGGCACTGGGCATGCTTCCTCTCCTTCAGCAGCACCTCTGCGTACCCTGGCAGGCGCAGGAAGAGGCCGAACGCTGCCAGAGAGTGGGCCGGGATGGGAGACATGGTCTGCACTGAGGCTGAGGATGAGGAAGATGACTGAGTCTGCTGCTTGTTGATTGGCGGGGGCTCGGCGGCGATGGACTCGGGGGCCTCGTACACCAGCTCGCCCGACTGCTCGATGGTCACCCACTCAAATTGGTCGCTGTCCTTGGGCTTCTCCTGCATAGCGGAGGGCACCACGGGGGCACTCACCTGGGGACAGAGTGGAACGTTAGCAAAGGTGAGAGCTATGGGAGACAATGCCGACAGCAGAATGAGGAGGGCGAGCACTTTGCAGTGTCATGATGTAGCCAATTCAAGCTGAGGGAGACGAGGCTGTCCCCTCTACATACTGTGAATACAAAATATGAAACTCATCTCATGAAATTACAATTCAAGCGTTTATTCTTAACATGCTTCAATAGAGTGGTGCAGGATTGAGCCCTGAAGTCTATTCATTTTTAAACGTTCTTTTGGTTGGATCTCTAAAGGAAGATCTGTATTTAAATCAAGCTTAAAATATTTTAAATGTTATGTTCTCGAAATAAAAATAGGTCAGAAACTACCCCACTCATGAATGTCTGAAGCTTCTATGTTTCTTAAAAACGGCAGTTGCCAATAAGTGAATAAATAAGACTACTAAACATCACCACACTAACATTAGCCTCCTTTAGCTTAGCGGTGGTGACGTGCATTCATGTGACCATACTGTAGATTCTTTATGGCCTTATGTTAGCTTTTCATTTGGTCGATTGCTTTTTCACATCAACAATCATAAAGGTGCTTGTTTATGTATCATAAATGTGCATTTACCTTCTTTCCTACAATATTCCAAATATCGAAAGAAAATTCAAAATGTGTCAAAGGACCACGTGCGATGCTACGCTAGGGTAGTCATCACTGCCGCACTCTACTGGTTCAAGATTAAGCCCTCCTTGACTGTCTTGGTTCTTTTATTGTTTAGCATATTTCTGTGTGAGGGTACCTGCTGAATGACATCAGGGTAGAGCATGGGCAGCCTCTCTGCGATGAGGGCCAGCCCCCCCATGCCTGCAAAGACCTGCAGCGGGGACTGGATGGGGTTGGTCTCCAGCAGAGACTCGTCCGTTGCGGCGTCCAGAGCTTCGTCCCCTGGCGTCATGGGCTCATCCTCAGGACAGCTGTTCAGCATGTCACAGTGGTCCACTGCAAGGAGAGCAAACAGAGGACCTGTTGTGTGTTCACGCACTGTCTCACATTTTGGACACTTTATTAAATGTAGAACCTACTCTAAATGAAATATATAATATCTACAACTGGGATGTATATGTGTGTGTATGGACACAAGAGAAAAAGGTGTCAGATTTGTTCACACGTGTTACATATAAAACACAACTTTAATGTTGAACTTAAACATTTCGTTTTCCTTTAAATGCTATAAGCAAGTGTGGATTTCCTTTTTTTCACGATTATTGCATGGTCCTTAAAAATAAAGAGGGCATTAAGTGGGGTTTAGCCTTACATATGCTTAAACGTGTGTGCACATTTTTACTAGCATGGTGGTATTGTTGGTCTGAAGCCTATCCTTTAAAAAAATGTATAATTAGAATTACTGATTTGTTTTTGTTTCCTCACTCGAAGTGGCTCTCATTTATCATCCTAGTTTCCTTAATTATCACATTTTTGGGGGATTTCACTTTTATTCTATTCTGTTGTTTTGTATAAAGTATGTGTGTTTGAATGTGTGTCTGTTTAATAATGTTTTCCCTGGTTGCAATATGTTATTTCAATCGTTCTAGACTTCAGTGTTGAGCTGTGTGGTGAAGCACATGATCAGTCTATCACTCCCATTGCTCCAACAGCGTAGCAGAGAGCAGGAGGAACACTGGCTCTCATTCATCAGCAGGTCTTAATGTCTGCAGTGGGGGGGGGACTATCAGCTATGTGCTGATTCAAAGACAGAAGATGAAACACCATCCTAATGCACTTGTTTACACTTATAATGTGAAGACAAAGTCAGACGCTCAAAATGAAACAAAGGGTGAAAAGCAAGACACACCACACCCCCCCTCTACTAATGCTTACCCTCTACCAGTTTATTGTAGAAGCACAGCCGTTTTATGATAACATAAAACTCTGGTCTATTGATAGGTCATCCCTTAAAAGCCACTCATAATCTCTTACAGAGGAGAAATCTGGCAGATGACTCATCGCTCTGCACAACTTTCTAGATGTGTTTTTCTACCCTACACTTTGCTGGACCTCTCTCACCCACTCAAATTCAAAAAAGCTTTATTGGCATGACTACATTAAAAGGCAGTCGTGCCAAAGCACATTTAACAAGGCGGGAGAGGTTTTAAAATGCAAATAATAAAAAATGTTAACAAGAATATGAAATGTAAAATCAAGAAAGAATCTGAACATTATGAATTGATACCTAAGGTAGCCAGCCATGCTGTATTTGCATGTGAGTCTCACTCCATAGCTGATGGTCACCACACTGAACTGGGCTCAAATGGCTGAGAGCCAACACCCACAGTCCAGCTCCCCTCATGTGACCTCTGTTATCTCTCAAATGTTAGCTGTAAGCTCTGATCTTTTGCGCTGTCTGCACTGTTAGCTGCTAGCCGCCAGTTCAGATGTTGAGAGTAATCCCTTAATCACAGATAGGGTCTGGATTTCCATTTAGATGCATTTTCTTTTTACAAGTTTTGAAAGTCATGGCGATATGATAAGAATGACAAAAAACAGAAGAGAAAATGAAAGGATTTCTCTTGGTTGCTGGCATAATGTGTGGCTTAATGGGACACTTAACAGTACATAAGAGCCGTCGTGACTTCCACATGTGCATTCGAGGGGGGAAAGAAACACACTTACAAAACATACCATTTTGTCCTTCAAATTAGAACATCTATGGTACTGAATTACACAACCATCCATCACAAACAGACCATAATGTGAACTATGGAGAGTGGGCAGGACATGGTGAACAGACAAAAGGTGCCTGAGCAGATCTGCAGATTCACCGGTGCTGAGATCATCAAAAAAGACCTTGATGTCATAAATGAATCCGACCTCGTGCTGACCCTGGAGCCTGCAGATTTGGATGGCTAAATATAAGCAGTGCTAAAGGCATCACATCCATGGATCGGCAGTGTGGCCTTCTGGCTAAAGGAAGGTCAGCAGTTTGATCCCAGCATCAACCTGTCCTCCTCACTAAATGTCCTTCCTTTATTATCAGTTTCATTTGATAAGCAAGGGTAATCAGAGTTAAAGGCTGCAAATAATTCTATACAAATGATTCCCTAATGCTTAAATACTAGGAACAGTATCCCTTGTATAACACAATCTTTCTAAATGCCATTTTAAGTACATGAAATCTGCATTAATAAAACATTTTTTTTAAAAAGCAACATGCAAAGACTTAAAGCAGCCTGACAATATAGAACTCATCCGGTATAGATGAAGGAGGAGAGCCACTGGACGGGATTCTCATTGCAGCACAACGCGTTGAGAATGTGACTGCGTTGTAAGCCCCTAGACCTCTTTCTATTCACATTATCGGTATTGCAGTAACAAAAGTAAATTTGTTGTATAGTGTGGCCTTGAATTCCCACATGGGATTGGCAAAATGTTGGTAGGAAACAGAAATAATATAAATGAATGTTGAATAAACATTAGAGCTGTTGTTGGTACCTTTCTCCGTGCGCAGCCTCTTGAAGGAGTCTGTTTTTGAGAGGCCCGGGTCGGAGATGACCTTGGAGCCCAGTTTGACGGTCAGGTTGATGGACTGGTAGCCCTGTGGAAGTTTGCGGTCGTACAGGAGAGTCAGGAGCTGGGCCAGAGTCATCTCAGATGGGAGGGGCTGACCTGAGGGGAGCACAGGGAAAAGGCAAACACTCGTCGTTAATACATGAGATGATCAGTTTCAGACTCAAACGCTTGAATGTCATCAGATGTGAGTGCGCATGTGAACCCTGCCCTGTTTGCAGTACCTGGAAGCAGCTTGTGGTAGAGGTGGAAGACGGGCACACTGATGGTTTTGGCTGAGGGGTCCACTCCAGACGAAGCAGTCAACTTGTCACTCATCACGCGACCCCTCCTGGATGGAGGTCTGGGGGGGGTTGAAAGAGCTCGCTTGGACTGGGACTTCAAGCCTGAATACGGACACAGAGAACAGAGACAGGACTGGACTGTGAGTCTTGTTTTCATCGAATATACACGTTAATATTTATTTTTGATCAAAATACAGAAGTTTAAAGCAACCAATAACTTATCTATTATGCCAGTATTATGCATGTCAAAACTCTGCCATGTGCTTATTAGACTCTGAAACTGATCATAGGACAGATAAAACACACACACACACACACACACACAGACACACACTGTGACCATCCTATCTTATCGTAGATATTTTTCCATTGTTGCAGACGCTCTACTATTCATCCATCTATTCGGTGCTTTCTATTTGTGGGTGAATAATATACACATTTCCCTTTATTAATCTAATGTTGATGTTGTCTGCGGGGTAAGACTCAGAGGTGGTCTGTTGTCAGAGGAGTGTATTTGAAACACACAACAGTACCTGAGGCCACGACCACACTGTAGTTGTCCTGGAAGCCGCTGTCTGCTTTCATCTTCTCCTTCTCCTCATGGTTCTTCTTCTCCTTGTCCTCCTTCTGCTCATTGATCAGCTTGGCTGTAATGCTTGGTGTGTCTGTTTGGATAAATAGAAGATAGAATGATATCAAATTAGTTTAATAAAATAGTCCTACTGGGGCTTTATTTATTTAGTTATTGTAACAAAATACATTTTGTTACGCTTAAAACAGTGAAGAAATATTCAATGAAAATGTGGCTTAGAGGCAGTAGATGTGGCTATTGCGGTGTTTTGTTGACAAATTGTCTGATGTTAGATGGTTACAACTACGTATATTTGTATTGAAATTATTTCTGAAGGTTAAACAAGCTGAATCCCAAATCTGAAAACATATTCATAAAAAATATACAAATCAAAAGTGGCATTTAATTAAAGAAGACTTTAGTAAAAAGCAGTCCTCAGAGTCTGGGATCAAATGAAATGACAAACATGTCGCAGCAGGGCCATTTGACTGAGGCTGAACCACAGAGAGATGTGTCCAGACCTTTCTTCTCTTCCCATGACAGAGACAAATGGAGCAGCAGGAAGCCTCATATATCTCGGACCAGTGTTGTAGGCAAGTCACCAATTCACGGGTCCAAGTCACTCTCGAGTCCCCACTTTTCGAGTCCAAGTCCGAGTCACCTAGGGAGAGTCGGAGTCGAGTCTAAGTCCAAGTCCGAGTCACCTAGGGAGAGTCGGAGTCGAGTCCAAGTCCAAGTCCGAGTCACCTAGGGAGAGTCGGAGTCGAGTCCAAGTCCAAGTCCGAGTCACCTAGGGAGAGTCGGAGTCGAGTCTAAGTCCAAGTCCGAGTCACCCAAGGAGTGTCCGAGTCATCATTAGCTGTGTCAGAGTCCAAGTCCGAGTCACCCAAGGAGTGTCCGAGTCATCATTAGCTGTGTCAGAGTCCAAGTCCGAGTCACCCAAGGAGTGTCCGAGTCATCATTAGCTGTGTCAGAGTCCAAGTCCGAGTCACCCAAGGAGTGTCCGAGTCATCATTAGCTGTGTCAGAGTCCAAGTCCGAGTCACCCAAGGAGTGTCCGAGTCATCATTAGCTGTGTCAGAGTCCAAGTCCGAGTCACCCAAGGAGTGTCCGAGTCATCATTAGCTGTGTCAGAGTCCAAGTCCGAGTCACCCAAGGAGTGTCCGAGTCGAGTCAGAGTCATCATCACCTGTGTTCGAGTCCGAGTCCAAGTCCGAGTCACCTAAGAAGAGTCCAAGTCAAGTCCGAGTCACAAGTCTTCATGTATTAATCTTCGTGGATACATGTGTTGAAATGTAGCTGCTCCTCTACATTGCTTTTATCCTGTCATGTTATACTAATCTGTCTATTGAACTGCTGTGAAGCCAGTTTGGCTACAATTCTTGTAATAGGTGCTATACAAATATAAAGCTTATTACTAATATTAATATTATTATTATTTGTATTATTGTAAATGACCTTTAATATGTCTAACTATGTTTAAAATGAGTTACCTTTTAGAGAAGTGATTATATTTGTATGCCAATATTTTCTGATGGTAAAGTTTTCGTTTTGCACTTTTATTTTGATAGTAATAAGATCGGGACTCTTATTTTGAAGGAACTTTTACCGGAAGTCAATGGACAACGGAGCAGTGTAAACACACATGTATAATGACGGATAGATGACGAATAAATGAACATATACTAAATAGTTGCATTGGGTTTTTAGCACCTGGCTGATAAGGGCACAAGCTCTTACGTTGGTAATGATTGTATACAAGCAAGGGTGTGCAATAAACGGATACCATCAGTTGGAGAGTCTGACCATCATTCAGCCGGGGACGCTACAATTATTATAGTGAATGTTTAAATGACATGCTGCATGTTAAGTAGCCATGTGCTTCCGAGTTATCGGCTGAATTTTTATTTATTGATTAGATCACGTTACTCTGATGATCGTGTTCAAGACAGCCTATATGTCTGAACTCGATCCTTAGAGTAATGTGTTACGGAGCCTTCTCTTCAATATTGTTTCCACATAGAGCATTTTGCGCTGCTCTTTTCCAATGTGGAAGCAGAATGTGTGAAAGCATGCAGCACGATGCGGGGTGTGTCTCTAGACATCTTTAGACTGGAATAGCGGGGCCCAGTACGTGAACTCACCTCGCAGGTGCACACGCCAGGACAGAGTACATCTGACTCGAGACAAAACTTGCTCGAGTCGAGTCAGAGTCATCGTGGGCTAAAAATTCACGAGTCAGAGTCATTGTGCGCGAGAATTCACGAGTCAGAGTCGTGTCCGCGTCAATCAGTGCGCGAGTCCAAGTCGAGTCGCGAGTCCCGAAAATCGGCACTCGAGTACTCCATCTCTGTCTCGGACTGTGGATGGTCAATGTGCTAAATTGTGGCCAATTGTCCAAGGGATGTCAGGGTTAATGGACTGAAACCTACACTGTCCATTCACTGCCACCTCACACCCAACTGCTCACTTCTTCTCTGCTTCTCTGAGTGAATCCACTCTCTTGCTCCTCCACACACTCTTTATTCACTGAGCCAAAATCTTTCTGGTACTATTCTCAGCTGCTTTCCATGACACTTGACATGTTACGCTTTTAACTATATTATATTGCCATTAAAATAAAAACCCTCCAGTAAAGGGAGGGATTATGCTGTTTGAACAGAAGGCTTTTAGTTTGAACATCTATGCAGTTATGAGTTTCTTGCACACTTAACAGCAATCAATCAGATATCTTTATAAAATATGAAGGAATGACAACAGTATTTCTGTTACAACAGATAGGTATGACATGACTTTTGATATGTTGTACTATATCGCACCACTTATTCCTGCAGTAACACTTTTATTTTTTTGGCAGCAAGGCTTACAAATCCCCACAGCTCAGTGCACTCATCTTGTTCTGAGTTTTGTTTGTCAGGCAGATTTCTAGTGTAAGTGTTGTGTGTTGAAACATACCAGACACCCGGTCCAGGACCTCAGCCAGCGTGGTGGAGATGGGCAGATGGAGGGTGCGGTACTTGTGTCCTGCCCCGTACATGGGATGCTGGATCATGTGGCTGGTGGCATTGATGCGTCCTTTGTATAACTGATGAAAAAAAAAGGGGACTGGTTTTGTGTCTGAATGTTATAATTATATTTTCAGGCTGTATGTAGCCAGAACTGATATAGCAGACATTCTTCTCTAGGTTTCAACAACAGAGTGAGTTACCCACCGGACAAGGTGACTGTAGGAAGACTGTGACCTTCTCGTCCTCCAGCATGAGCTGCAGGAAAAGCCTTCGAATGAAGCCTGAGATGTTTCCAGAGATCGGCACGTTGCCTCGCTGGGGTGCAGACTGGAAGAGCTCACAGAGAACCTAAAGACAGGAAAAATGATTGAAATCAATACAGAGACAAAATAATATATCCAAATGAAAACAGTTTGACATTCAAACCACAAAGGAACAAGAAATGAATGTTCTAAAAATATAGTTAATACTATCATTTGTATTAAAAGTCAGCTCTATGGTTTTGTTAGGTTGAAAAGCAATTCCTCAAAATATTGACTACAGCAACAACAGTTCATCTATGTGTGAAATTGAAAAGTCAATCAAAGTGAAATCTTTAGTCTTAACAGAGAGGAATATAAAAGCAGACCTGAGCCATGAGCCGCTGGTTGTTGGGGTGGCAGGAGATGCACTGCAGAAAGAAGGCCACGGTGGTGTTCTCCAGAGCGGTCCTCTGCTGTGTGGTCAGCCCTCCTGCCTGCATAGAAGACGCCAGGGAGTACCGTGAGCCTGAGGCCTGGGGCTGGGATGCAGAGGCGCCGGCCGCAGCTGCAGAGCCCAGAGGCTGACAGCCTGCGTGGGCACCGGCACTGGCACTGGAGTGGCACAGCAGGAAGAGAAGAGCCGTCCACAGCGGGTTCACCTCAGGTCCTCCTAACCAGTCTTTCATGGCGTGACTGTTGCCCACTTCAGTCAGGAAACGTAGCACTGGAGCGACCAGTTCTGCAGCCAGAGGGGGTCGACTGTGTGAGGATGAGGAGGATGAGGAGGATGAGGAGGATGAGTGGTAGTGGTGATGGTGGTGTCGTCTTTCGGCCTGAGCAGCGGGTAGAGGCAGGTCGGCGCTGGCCAGGAGACCCACACAGAACTGGGCCAGGCTGCGGACCAGCAGCGACGGTAAGCCCGAGTCCAGTAGCTGCTCTATGGCTCCCGGAGACTGGGAGGCAGCGGCCAGCGTGGTGAGCTGGGACTCCGACAGATTGACCGGGGGTCTTGCATGCTTGGAGTCGTCGGTAAGGCTTGCAGAGCTGGTGTTGGCGTCGTGCTGCTTCTTGCCGTCGTCGGTCATGGAGAGGCGGTGGCGCTGGGCCTGAGAGTGACTGGCGCTGGGCACCGGGACGATCCCCATCCAGGACATGAGCAGGGAGAAGTAGCTGGGGTGGATGTGACACATGGAGCACAGCAGGCTGTCCACTGCCTTCTTAAGCACGATGTTGCACGGCAACGACATGGACCAGTTAAACAGCAGCCTGGAGGAAGAGGAAATCATCAGTCATTAATCCATGGTTATCAGAAGGGGAAGACGTACTCAGATGTTGTAAAAAGTAGAAGTACCAGAGTGTATGAATACTATGTGAAAGTAAAATTATTTATTTATAAGGATGAATAATATTTGAATAATGTTTGAAGTGTTAAAAATATGTTACTAGGACAAACGTGAAAAAGATTAGCACTATGTATTTTTCATAAATTATGCTTTTTCTGACATGAGAACAACATGTAAAATGTCCTTAAAGGTCCCATGACATGGCCAATTCTACTGATCATAATTCCATTGTTGAGGTCTACTAGAATAGATTTATATTGTTCAATGTTCCAAAATCACATTGGTTTCTCATACAGCATCTCTGTATAGTATGTGTATTCACTCTCTGCCCTAAACGGCTTGTTGGAGCTCCTGCCCCCCCCTCCCTGTGAGCCCACTGTGCTCTGATTGGTCAGCTCGCCCACTCTGTTCTGATGAGTCCACCACACCGTTACAGCGGAACATCAATGATTATAATTTACAACGGCGTTAGCAACCAGAAAATGACACCAGTAATGACAAACAGATGAGAATGCTGCGTGGGGTCTGGGTGCCGTGTTGGCGGGACGTTGCGAGGCTCGCTGCTGCGAGGAGCGGACAGTGTGAGCTGGATTACTGGTGTGGGGTCGGCGAGACAGCGAGACACAGCGAAACCCAGCCCGAAACCAGCCCTAGCACACACACACACCCGCAGCCTGGCTGTGAGTCTGTGTGTGTGCTCACACACACACACACCCGCAGCCTGGCTGTGAGTCTGTGTGTGTGCTCACACAGACTCACAGCCTCGCCGCGTCCCGCCGTCTCAGGCTGAGAAATCCGCGGAGCTGCAGCTGAGAAAAGATTGAGTGTGTGTGTGTGTGTGTGTGTGTGTGTGTGTGTGTGTGTGTGTGTGTGTGTGTGTTCCGCGGATGTAACGTAACGGTTCCGCGGATTGGTCCATTTGGGTATGGGCACGTCACTGTACCCAGGAAGAAAAAAATGGAAAAAGAAAAATCTCCAACGAGGCGTTCTGGGGCAGCATAGACACGTCTTTTCTGTGTTCGAAAAACCTTCATAACACACAAGGGGACGGGTAATAACCGGAAAAGCATGACATGGGACCTTTAACATAAAGTTAATGGCGTAAGATGTGGCTCCTTTTTCAAATGAGCATATATGGCATTTCAACCAGAAAGTGGCTATTCATACTCCTGGTGGGCTGGTTTTTATGAATTGTTGGTCGATTATAAAGTTAACTTAAGGGGACCCAAAACTGCCATTTTAGATCCTGAAATATTAGAAATGGATTCTACATCCTAACTATGCCTCCAAAACGACACCAAAATTGTCCAAGCCATTTTTTAGCTAGTGTTTGCATATGCTTATTAAAGCTAATTAATGCAACTTGTGCTAATTGCCCAACATATGCTAGTTAAAATCCAGCATTTCTATGTGCTGGGGACCCGTATTATTCATTTCTAACATAAAACTTTGGGGTACTCAACATTTCCTGGGTTCACAATAGATCTCAATGAGTTGGCAAATAGACTAAAGTGCGGTGTTGATGATAAGGGAAAGAGTGTTGACTGACTCAAAGAGCTCTCTGTTGAGCAGTGCAGGCAGGTCGTAGTCAACGGGCAGCTCGTAGCTGTGCCACAGGATGGCTGCCACACAGTGCAGGTGGGAGGGCGACGGCATGAGGAGACCATACTCTCTGGATGAAGAAGAGGAAGGGACCGCAGCGGCGCCAGTGTATCCCATTGGGCTACTCATCTTGTGGGCCGCCACCCGAGAAGAGTCATGGACCCACTGCAGAAGAGCCTGGATCCTGAAGGGTGGAGATTCAGAGTTATATTGGATAAATAACTCCTCATGTGGTTTTAAAATCTTCAATTCATCTCCTACCCTCAGTGTGAGGTGAGTCATCTTGGAATTTATATTCAACCAACACAACCATGTGACAGTAAAAGATGACAAAGAGGACGTAAGGACACTTTTAACTATTGCCTCGTGAGTCTGTCTGGAATATCACCTTGACAAAAAGTGTTACTCATTGGTTGTTATTCTTACAGGGGGGGTCTAAAGGACAGTTGGGGTAAAATTGGGGTGTGGATATACCTGTCTTTGGTTCCAGAGTCCTGTGTGGTGCCCAGCTGGTAGAGAATGTCAATGGTGGAATCTGACGAGAGGCCATTCAGTCGCCCAAACAGCAGGGGACTGTTTAAATCTGAAACGATAGAAGCATAGACTTAAAAAAGGGTTGTTATCGCCTGATGATTAGGTTTTTTAAGATGAGTTTTGAACCCCTGTGAGCTACCTTCAACAGGAAATATGTGCACAGTATTATGGTAGGTCTTTTATCATTTGTGGACATTTTTTCTGTAGATATGCATGGTACAGCTTCCTAACTCACCTCCATACATTACATTCATTTGGCAGATGCTTTGCCACAATAGAAGTGCTTACAGGTTTGTTTGGGGTGGTAGTTGAAACAATGATGCATACAATTAAATGTTACCAGAGCCTGAAGCTTTTGTTGGACCTAGGTTCAGGTTTGGGCAGCTAAGGCTATACAAAATGTATTTTTTGATGTCATTTGTTGCAAGTAGCTACACAATAATTAAAGTGTGGCCAGTGATTGGTTAGGGACTCACATTTGTGCACCAAAAACACACCAACTCTCTTATTACAAATTACATAATTCTGAGAAATGAATGAGATATTATGAAGCATGACCAGATATTCAAATTCAAAGGAGACCTTGCAGAACAACAAACTTTTAACACCTGGTGAGGCAATCTAAAATATGCCAAAGCATTTTAAAACAAATGAAATGGACTGAGTTTCAGTATTTGAACTTTGAGTTTTGGAGGCTCTTGTGGTTCTGCGTCCTATAGTTAAAGCTGTTGCAGCTGTGTGGGACTCACTGGCATGGTCGGTGCCGGAGGCGGCACAGTTCCTCAGCATGATGTCGATGAGCTTCAGTCCAATGCGTGTGGACTGCAGGCCGATCTTGACCAGCACAGCCTCGATGTTGGGAGAGTGCATGCCGCAGTAAGGCGACATGAGCAGCGCGGCGCAGGTCTGCAGCAGGTTGGCGGTGGGGGCTGCAGCACTGGCCATCATGGCCTCCAGGTCACTGACGTGGGTCAGGCAGTGGTGGAGAAGACGCAGCCACCCGATGCTGTAGGAAGAAAATAAAGGTTACAACACCTACATCTAATACACATGAATCTACTCTCAGTCCAGAATCAGTTTTTGGTACCTGGTTTTAGACACCTGGTCCTCAGAAGGAAGGAAGGGGTTGTTGACGGTTGCAGAGGAGGTGTTGCCGAACGCCGTCAGGCCCAGCAGTTTGATCTGAGACAGACCCAGCGTGCTGGCATCACGAGGCCGGTGCAGCCTCAGGCAAACCGCCGACGCAACCTCCGCCTTCACCAGCTGGATCTTTATGTAGGTCAGGCCGCTGGTGATCACTGGCGTGGAGAGCGGCAACATGTTGACCCCATCAGCACTGATCTCCACGGAGACGGATGACGGGCAGGCTGGTTGAAGGGAACACAGCAGAACATGACATTTGAGTTAGAATTTAAGTGAGATGGAAAAGTGAATGATGGTTGCAAAAATAGTGATTAAAACAAATGATCCCAAAAACTCCACATTACGTTTTTTCAAATGTACTGTCACTGTTAAACTGGGTGCTACTCACTGGCCAGAGAGGCAAGGTGTGGCTGGATGTGGAGCTCTTTCAGCAGCACAGCAGCAGGAAGGTGGATGGTGAGGTCACACCAAGCCTCCTCCGGCAGGAAGATGTAGGACCAGGCTGCCGAGCGGGCTCGCCGGTGGGGGGGGCGTGGCTTGGAGGAGGACCTCTGCTGGCTGCGCTGTGGGGCTGCTGGATGTGATGGTGCCTGGGCAGGGACAAAGGGATCATAGAAAATTAGAAAAATGTTGGCAAGGTTTTAGGGTATTTTACTGTAAAATACTGTCCCACTGAATGTAAGAGATTGAGGAGGATGTCAAAGCACCCAAGGGAGCAAAGTTGTGGAGTCCCTCAGCGTTGTCCGGCTCTGATGTCATCACTCTGGCTTTGAGGTTGCCGTCCGCTGACTTCCCAGGACCTGAGTCTAAGAACTTCATGATGGTGGACACCATGCTGCGTGCTGTGTTCACAATGGCCCGGGTGCTGGTCACCATGTTGTTACAGATCAACTGCACACCACCTGATAAAACACAAGAAAGTAACACTTCATGTTCAATCGGTTTTTCCAAACTTTGAGTAAAAGGCTGGTTTAGAAGTGGTGTGTACAAACCCATGTCATGGAAGGCCTTGAGAGCCTCGCTGGTATCCAACACTCGGAGGATGAACCACAAGAGAGGTTCCGACAGCTGACAGGTGGAGAGAGACCCCTACAAAATGTAGAAAAAAAAAACGTTGGCATTGGTTTCCAAGACGTGTTTTAATATCAAGTAATCAGAGTCCAAACAGGCTGCTGCTCACCTGTCTGCCCATGTATCCACAGGCCATGTAAGTGAGGATGGGCTGCAACATGACCTGCACTGAGGTGGCCCTCTTGCTGAGGGTGGTGAGGATGGTGAAGAGGCCGTCACCCACAGAGATAGCGTCGAGGCCACCGTGAAAGTTCTCATGTTTGGTCAGGTGGAGGCCGCTGGCTCCTGAGGAACAGAGACAGAAAGTGTCAGCTTGTAGTAGCAGTAGATATATATACCCTCCTGATATACACGTTTTTCTCTTGTTCTCTGGTTGGTTAGGGGAACAATTCACTCACAAGTGAAATGTTATTATCAATAACAAATGATTTCGTTGAATTCCAAAGCAATTAAAAACAGTACTGTTTAATTCAATAAACGCTACAACTCTGCTCTGACCAGTAGCTTATATATGGTGGTAAATGTTTTACTTCACAAGTACTTATGTATGACTGGCATTGCTGAGTCAGTTTGTTGACTATTTATCAGTATCCCTTAAATGTTTGTCAAATGTTGAATAGGCTAAATACCTTCTCCTCATTCAATTTGAGGCACATTTCAATTTTTGCAGCAATTTCTTTTTTTGGAAACAGTCATATTTTAGTCAAGTCCACCTGATGCAAATCTAATATTCACTCTCTACCAACTCAGATTTAAAAAATCTGTCTCAGGCTGCTAAAAGCTGTAAATGAAAAAAAAAACGAGGAGTAAAATAAAAATAACAAGGTGAAACTTGTTACTGAAACTGTTGGTAGAGCACAGGAAGTGCCTGTGATGGGTCTCACCTATGATCATGGCCATGGCGCTGCTGTTGCACTGGCCCAGTGCGGACAGGATCTGGCTCATGATCTGCTGATTGGCTAGCACCAGGTCGGCCACCCCTGCAGGGGGCCCCTGGCTGAACGCTGAGCCACCAGCCACGCTCTCTTTGCTGCCACAGACCTTCTCCTCGTCCGACACGCTGCTGTCAGCCGCCTCGCTGCCGGCCGGCGGCAGTCGTCCGCTGAACTCTCTGTCCCCGGACAGAGGCAGCTGCACCAGCACGTTGACCAGCTTGAGGAGGTCGAACATCAGCTGGTCTCGTGTCGTCTCTCCGCACACAGCCTTGGCGTCTCCTGGCCGGATGATGTTGGCAAACAAACCACCAAAACAAGCCCGAGCCCCCACAGAGCTGTCGGAGCCGCTGCGGGACACCAGTTTGTCTGCGCAGGTGATGTAGTGGTGTACCAGGAATGTGATGGACTCAATGACGGAGGAGATTGTAGCCACTGACACCACCTCAAAGTTTTGTTCGAGAGTAAACTCCAGCAGCTTCACCTGGGCGTCCAGTGGACCCTGGCCGGACTGGAACGGACCCCTGCAGGGTCGGGAGGAGCCATTAGTTCACAAAGACCATTCATAAAGCATGTGCTGAAACTGACTGTGCTGTAACATTCAATAATTGCAATCATTATTGTTAGGGAAAGCATACCTCTCTGTAGACAGGATGTGCATGAGTTTGAGCAGGAACTCGCTGAACATCTGCGGGCTGGTGGAGGACAGGTGGACCTGCAGGCGGCTCAGGAACTCATGCATGGCCTGGGTGGCGGTGGGTCCCACCTGAGAGCTGTGCTGGCTCGTCCCGTTGGTGCTGCTGCCAGACAGGAAGCGCACAAGGACATGAACCAGGGTGGGGTCAGACACCATCTGCTGGGCGGTGCTTTCCTGAGAGCTCATCCCACTGCTGGAGCCTGGAAGTCCAAACAGAACTTATTTAACACCAGACCACTGACAATACTGTTAATAATAATTCAAATTGTAAGTGAAAGAAGTTGTGTACTGCTGAGCATGTTTCACAGGTAAATTAAGTTCTTATCACTCAAACAGCTGGTGATTTCGAATGATTTTATTAAGGAATAAACATTGTGGTCCTTTTTGAGTTTGTTGAGGGCATCATCCAATGACCCTGATGGTAGATTCAAGGATGCTCTTACATTCAAAATGTGAATGTCGAAAACTGTTTAACATTTAAAAAAGGAAACAACCAACAAGAACAGCCAGCTGTTTGAAAAAGAATGACACAAACTTGGGGCATAATAATAATATTGACTTAGATAAATGTGTCGTCCTTGCTTTAGGAGACCTTTGCTTTTGGTGTAGCATAATTCAATATGCATCACTCTTTGAGAGAAAGAATGAAAGTGTGACTATCTGAGCTCTGAGAAGATTCAGTGAGAGTGGAGTACTGACCGCAGGCTGGCATGTTAGTCATCAGGGTGAGAGAGTGCAGCACCAGACACCACGTTCTCAGGGAGGTGTTGGGGTACCACGCCAGCACTGTCAGGAAACTGCTAATGGATGCTGGAAACGCACAAAAAACATTTATGAAATAAGAATAAAACAAATAGTGAATGTAAAAAAGGGACTTAATTCCCTCTCAGGGGTTTAGAAGGAGTCCTGACCCTGGTTGAGTGGGATGGTGGGCACTCGGCTGGCGTTGAACATGAAGATGTCTGATCCGCTCTCTTCAGTGCCAGTGGAACATGTGTTGAGACTGAGTGTTAACCACAGCTGCAGCAGGGACTCCAGCTGAGAGAGAAGAAAGCAATTATTTATTTAAAAAATGACCCAGAATTTGGGGAAACTAACATGTATGTATCCAGGAAACATATCCAGTGTTTTTAGACCGACTGTGCAATGTTATCTTCATCAAATCCTCACTAAGCTGAGAGAAGCTTGTGAATTTTCATATTCTTCCAAAACTGAGGATGATTGTTGGGGAGCGGACGACAGCACAGCGTGATGAGGTTTTACTGATTTGCAGTAAAACCTCATAACGACATTGAGCTAAAAAGCTGAATACTTTACATGAAAAAACAGTGTTATTGCACCGGTCTATACGTTAGATGCCAACTGGCGCCTCGTTAACTTCTGCTTCAAACCCAGATTATCAGATACTAAAGTTAGTTCTGTTGTTACCTGGACCTGCTGCCGTCTGCAAGACAGACGTTACTTGGGAAACAAAGCCTTTGTCGTAAGACAGCAACAGGACACAAAGCCAAAACTACACGGCATAGCTCTGGAGTTAAAGTTCTGGAGTTGCCGAGTCCCCATGGAACTGATTAAAAATAAAATGAGAAATACCTAACCATGTCGACTAAAGGTTTCCACACTGAAGACTGATATCAGTCAGGGAATCTGTTTCCCATCTGTTGTGTGTGCTGACTAGGGATGGGTATGGCCTACTACTGTTATCGATGCCGCTTATCGATCCGGTCCTTTAACGGTACTCTTATCGGTTCTTTTGAAGAAAAGAAAAGGTAAATTAATTGTAAATAATGTGAACTTATAGAACTGTAAAAAAACAAGTATTTACTGCATAAATACAGCGGTACAGAGCAACACAGGTGGGGCATACAGGTATGCTACAAAAGGCCTAACGGTTCTTCTGGAGGAAGATTAAGGATACATAACACCTGACGTGGAAACGTTACTCGTGGATGGGGCTACAGAGCTACTAGAAAGACAGTCGAACCCGGTGCATTTCTCCGTCTGAACGTGGTGCACTTTTGCAAGATGTTTAGACAAATTGCTCGTGTTACCGCCCTGACATGGTAAACTCTTATTGCACTTTTGGCAACGAGCATTGTCCACATCGAGACGGGTAAAGTTTACCACACCTTAGCGCTTAGTTCTCTCTGCCGTGTGTGTGTGTGTGTGTGTGTGTGTGTGTGTGTGTGTGTGTGTGTGTGTGTGTGTGTGTAGCAGCCGCGTGTGTGTAAACTGCCCCGCCCCCTCGCAAGCAGGCGGGGGAGAGAGATCGAAAATACATCAGACTCATTTTGCAGTCTTTTTGCATATTAGAAACGGAGTTGGCGAAACTAAAATTGCAATATAATGTTTGTGTAGCAATAATACATATGACATATCTTTTAAATGTCTCCAGTACCGATAAAAAGACCGATAACGTAGGAGCTTAACGGTACCACGGTCTTTAATAATTCAGCCCCGGGGCCCCTTTAATACCGGGGCTCGGCACCCATCCCTAGTGCTGACCTGTACATGGTGGACCTGCAGCATGGAGAAGAGCTTGTTGAAGCAGCCGCTCAACATGGGGATGGACGAGGGCTGGATCATCAGGCTGCTGGCTGGAGGAGAGCCCCCCCCATGCAGGGCCCTCAGCAGGGAGTCATCAGTCCCATTGGAGGCCTGGCTCACTGAAAAAACACACACACAAGTTAATCTTATAGCAGCGATACACAGACTGCTACAAAAAACTGTTGTGGGTTGTTGAGCACTTATGTTCAACTATTGAACAGCAATTGTTATTTAAATAAAATGGGCTTCTGTTTGTGATGTTGTGAGGTTACCTGTGGAGGAGCTGGAGGAGAGGGCCTGTAGAATAGAGTCGGCCTGTAGGGTTGCCATCATTTTGAGCATCAGTTCAGCCTGCTGCTCTAGGCCCACCTCTAGCCGGGCATCCAGTGCTGTGACACAGGGGCCAAAGGTCAAACACATCACAAAGTGGATTTAGAGAGGACAAGACTAGTGCTGAAATGAGCCTCTACTCACCCTGCGACACGGACACTGACAGACTCTGTGACCCCGGCTTCTCAACAGCGACTGGAGGCTTGGACACTGGGATACCAACCCCACCGATGTACGGGTTGTACCCGTACGTGCCATAGTCAGCGCCCCAGTAGTCATACCAGGTGCTGCTTATAGGCTGAGGACAGATGTGAGGACGAGGGCAAAATAAAAAAAGTCTTCTACATTAACATTCAAATCACAAAATGCACATTTAGTTACTGAAAGTAAAATATGTTATGCTACACTTGGTTCAATTCATTCTAAATGTGCAGCTTGAAAACAAATAAATCACTTCCCTTTATCTTTTCAAGAACACCCTCACAACGTTTATATTCACTGATCCTTCAGTTTACTTAACTAACAAACTGCTCATTCAACTTGTTGAATTTGGACAGTAACATTAGGGGCCATCATCAAGCATACTCAAATGTTTATCTATCTATGATTTTTGTCTGATAAATAGTCAAACGTAGAACTCACCACTGTCAAATGTTTCAATCTTTTAGTTAACAAATGTATAAAACAATTTAGGCTGATAACAAATGTCCTGACAAAAAACTGACTGAACAAACACCTTTCATTCCGATTCGTTGCACCTTTTAACACTAATGTATTTAAATGAACATTTCATGATATTGAAACTGTTCTAATAATACACATTTACTTGTGAAAATCACATAATATCAAGCTAAATCTTCTAAAAAAGTTAACCTAACTTAAGTTGAACTATTCACAATTAACTCTAAATCTAGGGGCATTGCTGGTCTAATTATGCATTTATCTTTTTTCCCTGATACATTCTGATCATTAACAACTTCATTCTTAACGTGTTGCAAAACTGTTTCCTGTACTCATGAGACAATATTGCAATATTCTATTTTTACTCTTTCATATTAAGCAAGGACTTAGTCTTAACATCTGCACTCTCAGTTTCTCCAACACTGCATTAGCTAGGTGGAACTGTAAATGCTGCAATAATACTAACTGGCATTTACTAACTGTAAACGTAATAACATCAATACACAAGCCAATACCAAGTGATAAACAAGTAAACAGCGAGAGAAAAAAGGGAAGAATAGGAAGTCACACATACCTTAAACACCTTGGCCGCGAGTGGATCTTTTTCCAAATCAATATCTAAAGGATCAATATCAACATCCATCAGGTCTTGTAGCAAGTCAAAGTCTATGTCTTTATCTTTTTCCAAAGAGGACAGAGGTGGAGCACCTTTGGATAATAAAAACAGCCTTAATATTGCCAAGCAAGCACACTAGGAAAACAAACAGGCAAGAGAAACTTTCTTGAGCACGTTACTGGGCAATTTTAATGCCGATCGAGCCATCATCTCCTCTACTCCTCTGAAATAACACTGGTCATAATAACTTTAATGACAAATTGGCCAAAATGGCTGACTACATGTTTGACTCCCATTCCAAAAGACAGAACTACAATAATTAAAACACATTGAACGATACTGTAAAAAAAACTGTGAAATGCAATTATAAAAAATATTTAACAAATAAATACTTTATATTGTGATGATACAAAGTGTTGGTATCAACATTTATGTGTGCGTGTGCGCGTACGTGCGTGTGTGTGTGTGTGTGTGTGCGTGTTTAGTGTGGACGGGTCTACCCACGCACTTTGGAATATTGAGGATGCCCCTGTAGTACCTGCAATGATATCAGGCACCAGGGCCTCATCAATGCTCTCTACCAGGGGGATGGGGGCCGGCTGGGGGAGGCAGTCGTCCGAATCCACCCCCGCTGAGGAGGAAGAAGCCCCGGCCTCTTCGCCGCATGCACCATCATCCATGCCATCCAGAGAGCCCGGAGACAGCAACTCACCTGGGACAACAACGTGTACACTTAATGACACACAGCTCTGAGGAAAACGCACAAGATTAGGGATATTGTTTTTGGGTGAGAATCAAAGCACCATGCTGGGTTGTACCGTGCTTTAAGCTAAATGCTAACATTGAAATGCTAACATTCTAAAAATGACAATGTTATCACTGAATGTTTACCATGTTTCCCACCCGAGTTTAGTGTGTTAGCATGCTAACTAATCGGCACTAAACAGGAAAAGTAAAGCTTACAGGACTGTATTTAGTTTTGCAGGTATTTGGTCAAAAACCAAAGGATGAAAAATGATCATTTTGACTCGTTGATGCCTCTAGATGAAAAGCTTAGCCATCCAAAGTTATTCAAATGTATTCACAGCAGTCTAGGGAAAACAATCTAAAAGTTGTTACCGAGGTATTTTGTGTGTAGGTTAAACATTTGGTGTAATTTATTTAGTATTTGCTGAACTATTTCACTTGATCATGGTGCTATAATAATAGTCTAAGGATTCAAAAGGATTCAAAAGTATGCTCAAGGGGACTCGACTATGTTTAATACTTTGATGGAAATGCATCCCATCAGTTCAGATATTTCTTTTTTAAATTACAGAGCGACAGAACATATCCTTAGAACTAGCATGGCTAATAAAAATCGAAACAAAATGTGTAAAATTACTAAACCAAATGATAAATATTCACATTAAAACACCAATTCAACAAACTAAATGTAAAGGATCAGGTAAAGTGGCCTTACTCCCTAAATATCCCATTGTACAGGAGACAGGATGAAGGAGACATGTTTTATCTTACACTCTTTCATTAATCAAGTCACTAAATATGTCACACCAGACTTAAAGCAACCCAAACACACCTGCTAGGATGTCCTGTAGCATGCATGTGAGGGAATACTGCGCCCAGGCGCCCCCCCAGGAGATGTCCCCCCGGTTGAAGTCTGTTCCCACAAGCAGGAGCAGCAGGCGCTCCAGCTGCTGCTCAGACACCACCTCACACAGGTGGATCGTGGGTCTTGTGGCATTGGCTATTCGAGCAAGGACCTGAGGGGGTAAGAAAAGTACTTATTTATGTGTATATACAGATTATGGAATTGAACAAGTCCATGCATGAGGGTCCGATGGATACCTTGCAGACAAACAGCAGCAGGTCGGCGTGGCAGGTGAAGTCCATGGAGAGGAGGAAGAGGGCCAGCTTCTGCACCACAGAGATGCAGCGCTCATGGGACAGGGTGAAGGGCAGGGGCTCTACTTCTGGGGCTTCTTTGGCTGTGCTGGACTCCGTGTCCAACGTGGAGCGGGGCCACTCGGCCGTCCGCCGCAGACGGATCAGGTCTTTAAAGTGCTGGAAGAGAGACGCAATAAAATGAACCCAGATTCATCAGTTTTGTAACAATGCAAAATAACATAAGGCTCATATCTTCACTGTTTATCAGAATGTGTGTATATCATAACACTCTAGAAAGAGGGTCTAAAAGAAATCAATGACAGAATTGGTAGGACAGTAAACAACTGTATTGTGCATTTTAGGCATAGATAATCCCCCAAGTATTACTCAAACTCAATTCAAATCTTCCTCTTCTGTGCCATGAGGTTCATTTTATTAAAGTGGGTGTTGGAGGAACCCCCCACTGTGACATGTGGATAAGTGGTGTATGCCCCTTGAAGCTCTCTATATTTAAGAGAGGAGCCGTGTCTTTAAGTATGGATTCCCTTTACAGCCTATGAAGGAGCTGATTGCTTACAGAAAACAACATCAGGACTCTGTGGGGACAATAGATGTTTTATTATTTTGATTACGCTATTAATACTTTCATTATGCACTACGTCTGTACATTGTTGATGTTGTCATCTATTTCACCTGTCAAATATGTCATGTTCTGTAATACTGCCGATGTTAAGATCAAATACATTTAAAAGGAAGAGAGAGGCAGGGCAAACATCCAATTATTAGACATGTACTGTGTTAGAGGAGCTACATCGTGATGTTCCCTCAGTAAATGTATTTATCTTAGCATAATAAGTGGAAGACTTCATCTGTAGCTCTGTAGTTAATACCGCTGACAGGTCTGTGCATTATCTTCATCTCACAAAACAACAATCTTTAATATTATAATTTATACAAATGTCTTCATACCATTCAAACATGGAGACAACTTATTACACAACGTGGATCCTCTTTAGAGGTACCCTCTGACCCCACACAGTGCTGGTGCTGCTTACTGCACATGCAGAAGCTGAGCTGCTCACCTTGGATGTGGCCTGTTTGAGCTTGGCCTGTTCCACCAGCAGTTTGTAGGAGGAGCCTTTGTTGCTCTGGATCTTCTCCTTCTCAATCTGCTCCACCAAAGCCTTCTGTTTTGCTTTCAATAGATTTAACTGCTGCAATAAAAAGGGCATGATAAATAGGAGCATTGTAAACCTATTCGAGTCGTAAGCACATATTCATTTATCACACTGACTTTTTAAAGAGCATATTTGATGGTGAAGATGAGACACATTTACCTGCTTGTGGTGGACGAGCTGTTTGCGGATCTTGCGTGAGTAAAGTCGGTCCAGGCTGCTGTTGCCTTTAGCTGCCCTGCCGGAGTTCTGAGACTGAAGGCTGTTGTTGATGAAGCTCCACTGAATACCTGGAGGACAGAGCAACAGCACTCATCAGATCACTGGGGTTGGGACAGATTTCAATCAAATGTTTTTAAGAGGGCAGAAAAGAGATTTAGTGTATTCTATGAAAGTCTAACAAGCTTTCTTTCCTGTTAGTAAAAAGATCATTCAGAGATCCATGTTGAATGTTCCACTTTAACAGATCATAATGCGTGTGGTTCATTTGTGAAGTGTCCATATTTAATAGATATTTGTCAAAAATGCCTATTACATTTTTTATTTAGATTCTTGACTTTAAATAGTGAAGTCCTTTAGTGAAATAAAATATATAATCATAGGTTAGAAAAAAAAGTGAGGGAAAATTGTGTAGTTTCTATACCTGTAAAAGATCTCTCTCGTTCTTTCCCTCCAAGGTGCTTCTTACCCCCTGCAGCCTCATCTTCTATACTGGCTACATAGTCCAGCAGTCTGGAGACCAACATCACTACCCAGCTGATCATGGGGATATCCAAAACACCTGAAACACACACAAACACACACTCTTTGTCACACTTTCCAATATAGAATCTGCTGAAATGTGTAAACATTCAAAATGACATTAAACTCTATGTGTCATTTTTGCTCCATCAAACATAAATGTGTAACGGTGCCACAGTGAGGCTGGCTGTACCCTCGGTCCTGCGCTGGGCGGAGGCCTGTGGCTGCTGCAGGGGAGACAGCAGGCTGTCCAGCAGGTTCAGGAGCCCCTCCAACACTCCACTGTTACTCAGGGATCTTTGGCCAATGCAGGACAGCAGCATGAACACCCTGGGGTCAAACAAGACAAGGAAAATACTGCATTGGTGAACTTCAAACAGGGTCATTTGAGACATGTATTTAGGAGAACAAGTTCTATTGGTTGATTTATTTGTAGTTAATTAGTGTATTTCTGTAAATGCTAGAGTAAGCCAAGAGGCTATTTTTAAGTAAATACAATCAGTAAAAACATGCTACATAGAGGCATACAATACTGGAAATGCTAATACAAAAGTAATACAAAAAAGAAACGTACATAATACGTAGCAAGAAGATAAGCAAGAGGATAAGGCAGAGGCAGTACAGACAGACGGATGTACAGTGGAAGAGATTGTTTCCAGGTTGACAGAGCTGTTTCCTCACTAACAAAGCGTTTCATTGAGATTGAAATAAACTGAAAGTGTTTTTATTCTGATTGTTGATGGGATTAAAAGAGATGCCAGCAGCTCGAGCTATAGAGCTACAGGTACAGCATGAAAAGTCTCAATTGTTTCAATATTCATTTAAAGAGAGAGATAGAAAGAGACACACCCAGAGAAAGAGAGAGATGATCAGGTTAGTTCTGAAGTTAGCAACAATGGCTCAGGCTCCTATAAACTGCGCTTTAAAGTTCAAGCTTTTTTCTCACAAATACATAAAAAAAAACAATAGTCCGACATGCTTGCCAGCTTTTTTGACTTTTACACTGAGAATGATAATCCTCAATGTGATGAAGTTAAAAAGCACTGGGGGAAGAATCAGTTCAGGATTTGTGGTTGATGGAAGCAATCTGATGTCCCCACCTGTCCTGAGGGAAGATGAGCAGCTGCTCAGAGTTGTAGAGCTCCTGCAGGACGTTGGAGAGGAACTGGCCCCACCAGCGCTCTCCTCCACACAGCTGAACCAGCAGCAGGCCAGCGTGGAGACGGATCTTAGGCGTCCCACTGATGCAGAGGTGTTTGAAGAGCTCCTCACAGGCCTGGGCATGGAAGGTACTCTGCAGCACTGAGGGCACAGAGTGGCCTGGAATATACAGAGGCACGAATCAATCAGGTGTGAATACAAGTATGATGCTGTCCATACATGTATCCATACATAAATGTCCATATTCTACTGGTAAAAGTCTGGGAGGAAAAAATGCAAGCATTTGTGCCCCTGTCTGGGATGTGTGTGTCATTGGTCTACTGTATATACAAGTAAATATAAAGAAACAAATAAGATTTGTTTTGATCACGCTTGTTCACCGTTGTTGGAGTGCAGCAGGCTGAGCAGTGTGTCCAGCAGGTAGCGGATGATGGTCCTCAGCTGCTCTGTGGAGGAGTTGTGGACCAGCTCCTGGACCTCTGGGGCCCCGGCTGTGGGGAGCGACCTGCGGCTGGCCCCCAGGGAGACGCGCAGCCGCTGCACTGCGTGGTGAGCCAGGTTGAGCTGCAGCTGCAGCTGGATGCAGTCCTGGTAGGCGGAGAACACACGCTGGTCCTCCTCCACCACCTTGTCTGGCTTCCGTAAGAAGTACTGAGCATTGTTAGCACTGTTGAGAGGCGGCAGGTCGATGTTCTGCAGAAGCGTCTCCAGCCGATGGCAAGCTAGGTTGTATCTGGAAAACAGTTGTTAATTGAATGTGAATTAATTCATCTCAAAAAATTGTCCCCAACCTCTGCAAATATCTTCCTGTGTGACTAATATTTGCAAAAAATTGCAGTCCAGCTGTTTAAAAAAAATAAACTTATTCTAGGTTATACGAGTGAGCTGTTTTTTAGCTTCAGTATTAACCAATGGGCTTGGAGTCAAAGGTCATGGACAGTAGTAGGAGTCAGAAAGTAATGAGGATTATAACATTGTTGGTTTGCTCCTTAGGTGTGATTTGATAATAAAAAAGTAAAATACTTTACTCCCATGCTTACCTGCACTGGATGTCCTCCTGCAGCGCCACCATCATGGCCAGATGCTGATCAACATCTGGCTGACAGACGGCCTCGCTCTCTCCCCGCAGAGGATCGTGCATCAACTTCAGCTCACTCTCCCAGGGCAGGATGTACGTGTGTCCATAGTAAAAGCCCAGCGGGATCTTAGCCCGAGCATTGGTGCTGCCGTAGCGCCCGATCACAGTGATCTGGAGTTTAGAAAGCAAACAAGGAGAAGGCATACTTATGGTAAACAAACAAAAGCAAGAAAAACTAACAACATTAAAGTTAGCCATCATGTGTCAATCCAAAGCAAAATACACACCTTCATGAACCTGCAGACAGGTGGGGGCAGCAGGTCGTGCAGAATGAGCGAGTGGGTGCTGATGTCGGTGGCCACCACCAGTCTGCGCCCGTCCACCTCCTCCCCCAGCGTCCAGATGTCGATGGACAGAGAGGCCAGGTCGGCGCAGGTCGGGATCAGAGCGTCAGTCAACAGCACCGGACGACCAAAGTCCAGCGTCACAAAGCGACGAGCTCCTAGGAGAAAGGACACCGGAAGTTAACTTTGGAATAATTGTACTGAGGGTTTAAAGATTGTATACGTTTGATTCCAACACACCACTTATCCACGACATACCAGAGTGCATCCTCTCTATGATGATGGACTGGTGTGGAGGAGGCTGCAGGAAGTGAGACGCCTGGGAGATGGCCAGAGCTAGACCACTTCCCATGGGGCTCTGCGGCAAAAACAAAACCGTATTTAACAAAAGAAAAAGAAGATAAATCTCTCTCGATGCCCTGTTATCTGATTGCTAGATTATGGGTTTGACAAAAGTGTCAGTTTTAATTCAGGCATACATTCAAAAAAGCATTATATATATTTACACATGTTGAACTATGAATCTTTTTATATGTTTAGTATGGAACGAATAGCTGATATTAGGGAGGCTCCGATCGGGAATTTTGGGGGCGATCGCCGGAATCAGTATCGGCCGATAGCCGATCCGATCATCGGGTGGGTGGGGGCTATGGGGATCTTCCATTTAAAGTGATGTTTAAAACTCAGTTAATGGGGCTCATTTTTATATTGCTTCAGTTTATAATCGTAACGGATCGAACAGTTCAGATTGATTTTTCAATACATGATGGCTTCCACAAACAACCAACATAATTATTACATTCAAATGAAGTACATTTTTCAAGTTTACATTGGAAGCGGAAGCGCTCTCTCTCCCTCTCCCTCTCTCCCTCTCTTCTGACAGCCTGTCAGTATCGTCTCATGTAGCTCACTGATCCAGTAATGAGTGACCCGACAGTGAAGAATAAACATATTTATAACTAGTTTAGCTTGTTCCAGAGGTAGATCAAATAGCTAAGTGTGTTAGGTCTAACTCTTAGTGTGTGTTTTGCTCCGCTCACCTATTTTATTGTCTTTTTCGGACACCTTAAAATACTGCCAGACTGGTGAAGCCATTTTGGCGAGCTTGTTTTGCCGCGCACAGAGAAAAGTGTCATGTATTTTACGTCATGTGATCGGCTCTCACGATCGGCCTTTATAGAGAGCACCTATCGATCGGCCGAGAGTGAATATTGGTCGATAATGATCGACGGCCGATCGATCGGAGCATCCCTAGCTGATATGATCAGCAACAAAAATACATTTAGGAATGAATTAGAAGTTTTGGAACCCATTTCATCACTGTGTATCTGTCTGCAAACCTATGAGAGTATATTTGGACGCCTGGATGAATAAAGGGAATGATTAATTATTATACATTGTACTGTAAATCTCCCTCAAATATTATTGTTTAACGGGTTATTTAATAATTTATTTGGCTTCCTTGTGTGTCTAGTGAAAAGGAGAATGAAACTGAGAAGGCATTTGTGTACTGGGTAGTTTTTAGTTGCTGCTAAAAAAGAACTGAGGCTTATGAGGCAGCCCTGTATGAAAGGCAGCTGTCACTAACTAAGCAGCATGAAGCTGCATGAACTAACCGGCTTGGCTTTCTGTGTGTTCTTGTGCGCGGCCAGGTTGACGGGCCCGGGGTCCATCATGGAACCGGGGAACAGGTGAGCCAGTTCAGCGCTGAAGGCCGCTGACACCGCCTCGTTGGGCGGCGTGAGAGGAGGGGTCATGAAGAGGGGCGTCGTTTTTGGTGTGGGCGGGCAGGGGTTGATGAAGAAGCCCGGGGGCAGAGGAGGGTTAGAAGGGTTAGGGATGTGGATGAACCCCACGCCGGAGGCAGAGGCGGCTGCAGAGGTGGTCTGATGCAGCTTGGCCTCCAGCTTGGCCTTCTGTTCGCAGCACAGACACAGAGGGGTTACTAATGGCGCATTTCCACTGCAGCGCATACCACGGTTTAAGTGCGCCGTGCCAAACTCGGCCCGTTTTTTGTTGCGTTTCCACTAGGGGTAGTTCCGGCTAACGGGTACTGTTTCACAGTTTTTCTGGCTCTCCAAAATCGAGGTTCTTTCCGGGCCAACAATTGGGCTGAGTATGCTAGACTAGAGAGAGAATCGCTGGCAAGGGGGCTACAACTACAACAAGATGAACATATTTGACCGTGATTTAATTGTAATTTCAAAATGATGCCGAAGTAACAACATACTGATACCGGTTAGTAAAAACCATGAATTAATGCTTTGACAAGTCTGCAGACAGACGGCAGGCGAAAAACCTTTTAAAATGCGTGTTTTCTAAATGGAGATTGGCTAAGCTAACGCAGTATATGCTCCGACCGTCCACACTCACAACAACGGCCTATACAGACATAAATAAAGCAGCGACTGTATTCACCATGACACAGGCAGTCTGTGGTTTGTACTTGTTTAACTTTTGTCTAGTTTCTGAACATATAGGAGGAGCTGTGAGCTCTGAGTGCTAACGGCTGATGTTGGTTTTGTGTTTCGCATTGAAGATGACGTCACGGCTCCGCCTACACTGCGTTACTATAGTTACTGCCCCAGTTCCTAAACTGTAATGGAAACGCAGCATAAAGTGAGCCGGGCCTACCAAGGCCTAACTATACCGTACTAAGCCGTGCGAGGCCCTGCAGTGGAAATGTGCCATAACTAACTAGTAGCTGGTATCGTAACAGCAGAATTACTAAAAAGAAATTAAAACAATTCAAGAAAATCAAAATTCCTGAAAATGACATTAAATGTGTTGTCATTAGGTGCCTGCAGTTAGAAAAAATGCTGTTAAAAGTAACATAGTACTGCTATGTCTAAATATTTGTTCCAGTTTTACTGTACCACCTATGCTATGCTGCTAAGTGAAATGATGTGCGTTTGTGCGTACATGCGCGTGTGCGTGCGTGTGGGTGTGTACCTGCTGCTGCAGCTTGAGCAGCTGCTGCTGTTTCTCCTGCAGCACCTGCAGCTGCTGCTCCGCTGACACCATGGCGTGGGACAGTGACTGTAGCGCCACCTGTGCTGCAGAGCTCAGCGCTGTAGAAGCTTCTCCAACCGTTCCTGACGACAGGCCTCCCACCGCAGGCGTCACGCCAAACGTACTCACTGGGGGTAAAGAGTAAGAGATCAGGAGATGACCACTTAAGTGTTCCAACAGCTTATCAAGTGGACAATTATTTAAAAAAATAATACAACATTTAAAACCACAAGTAATTGAGTATACACAAGATTGTGTTAAAGGGAGCTTTTCTAAGAGTTTATTCTAATTCCAGCATATTCCTAGCCCTTAAAAATAACAGTTAATATTAGGCATTGAAGAAACTTTTTCAACTGTGTGAGCTCTGTGATCAGGGGCCAAAGACATCTATTTACCGGTGAACAGGCTGGCGTCGTCTCGCTCCACCCGTGTGCCGTCACTAGTAGAGATACAACTAAAGTGCAAAGGCTCCACCTCCAGGAGTCCTGTTAGTGCTGTGAAGCTGCCTTCTGCTGCTGAACAGCTGCTCACCTTTCCATTCCCTGCACAACACAACACCAAACCAAACATTCAGGAACACACCGAGCTTCAGGAGAAAACTCAAATTCAACTCTATCCAGTTTTCCTCAATTTTGGAATGATTTTTTAATGAATCAAGACCCTAAGAATTTAAAGGAGAAATGTTGTGAGATACAGAAAGAGTCAGTATACCATTTAAATGACTTAAAGTTTCAATTAAAGGGTGTATACATCCTTATCAGAATAACAAAGACTGGAGCCATCTTTACACATGATCCCCTTCTATTAAACAAAATGTATTGGAGAATTTCAATCTATTTAAAGTAATCTTATTTCATATACATTGTTTACCGTCTGATGTAACTTCATCGTTAGTCAGAATACCGTGTGAAAAGCTGATACCTGACAGGATGTCAGAGAGGTCGATCTCATCTGACTGGACTCCGATGCTGCTGTTGAAGGCGTTCCTACAGGAGGAGCCGCTGACCTCCAGGTCAAACAGCACCGGGTCGAAGGGAGAGCTGTACAGGCCGTACCTGCAGGAGGAGGACAGGAGGGGGGAGAGTGACGCTTGTGATGGGTAGATACATCGAGGAATTAAGAACAAAGCGGATGAGACAGTGGCTTCACTTCAGCAGTAGTTGGAAATACTTGTATCTTCCTATTATTACATAAATAAGTTAAGTAATAGAATGGTATTTGTGCCTCACAAGCCTGCAGAGGCTGTAAGAAACTCTTGGAGTAGTTGCAGTACCTGGTCTGCAGCAGAGCCTCCAGGGGGGTGAGGCGGTCCTGCAGCTGTCGAGAGATGGTGGTGAGCAGAGAGGCGCAGGCGGTGCTGCAGCCTGCCAGGTCCTCCTCCTTCACGTAGTTCAGCAGCACGAAGTACCAGAACACGGATCCTGAGACAGGACAGAGGGGTCAGGCACTGAATGCTGGGGGATGATGATCGGAGTTGTTGTTCAGTTACTTACCACCAGTAGCTGATGCAGGCAGATAAGGCATATTGTCTAGCATTGCATTCAGAAGACTGACTCCAAAACCCTGCTGACTTTGGTCACCTTTCCCATTGCTACAGCAGGGAAAAATAAAACAGCATGTTTATTATTATGTCCGTATAAACCCAAAAACATAAATAGAGTACAAATACTCCATCATATTGGCATTTTCCACTATAGGAACCAGATAAACGTTGACATAAAGCAGAAGGGATAGCCATAATAATGTGTTATGCTTTTCTTTCCAGTGCCCCCCCCCCCCAGATCATTTGATGAAAAGTTCCTGAACCTATATTACGTCACTGCTCACTTCATAAATCCAGGTTCAGGTGCTCTCGGGGTGAATTCAACATTTATTTCGCAACACAGCAAACAAAACAAATATTCCCCAGGGATACGTGTTCTGCTTATGAATATTCAGTACGTGTGCTTTCCTGTTATGCAATTGATCTGTAGACAATGTGTTTTGAGTGAGTAAGTGTTATATTGAATGTATATAATCCCCTCAGTTTCACTGGGCAGTTCAGATGGCCACTGAAATCATCCATGCGTCTTACCTTATACAAAGCGCAAGAAAGCGGGCACATTTGTGCGCTATGCTCCGGCCAGCTTCGAAGAAACACATCCGTACAATATCTGTTAGCCGCGTCCGGGATTTTGCCAGCAGGCCCTCTTTTCCTTCCCTTAAACTGAAGCCAAAGAATATATTATTATTGTCTGTAAAATGTCAAAGTGGAGGTAACGTGTGAACGAGATGTCATAGATGAATGTGGTGTTATTTTAGTCCTACCTGCAAGGTCCGTTAGAGAACACCCCAGCCAGCCAGCACAGGATGTCGAGGATGAGGCTCTGAGCGTGCTCATTGGCTGGGCTGACTTCTGTGCGTCTACACAGCGCGTCCAGCAGCTTCTCGTGGAAGTCTGGGAACTGCAGCATAGCACAGCGTTGGACCCTGAGGAGCAGAGAAGGACAAACATAAGTTTACTTCTGCAACAGGAACAGCAGAAACAGGTATACCAAGAAGTCACTGTCATCTGATGGAATGTGTGTTAGTACACTTACTGTTCAATTTACTTCTGCAATGTTAGATATTTATTACAACAACATTTTGACAGTGCTAACAGAACATAATGTTTCACAGTGATCTGACCTTTCTTTGGGCATTGACGTCTTTTTAAACTTTCTGATTGTGACTGAGACCTCCTGCAGCAGGTCACAGCCTCGCATGTTTTCCACTTTCTTCGAGGGCGCTGAGCTCTCGCTTTTCACTGCAGACACCTTCTCCTACAATCACACACACAAACAAATACATTAATGTGAGTGTGTTAACTTTTTCGGAAAGGTAAGGATATGAGAAACTACTACATCAATAAAAACATTATTTACATTTATATTTGCATGGGAGTAATCCAAATATGAACCTATCCTGAGAAAACTGGAAGCAGTGATGTGTACCTTGGAGGCCTGAGCCCGCTGCAGCAGGGTGGACAGTGAGTGCGCTTTGGTGCCCTGGGGCTTGGCACAGGGCATCCTCACCACGGGTCGGGGGCTCTCCTCCATGCCCCGGTCACTCACCGCTTTAATGTGAACCAGGAAGGAGCGGTACTTGCCTCCCGCCATGCCTTCAGAGAACAATACAGCTTAGAAAACACGGACGCACTAACAACTGAATAGCATCTTCCCGAGCAGAAAACCCCTGAGGGTCAGGCTGTGATCAGGTCATGATGCCCTCACAGAACGTGTACTTGTGAGTGTAGTTACCTTTGACCAGCTTGGGGCTGGTGAGACTGAGCATGCCTGCATGGCCAGAGAGGTCCAGCCCACTGGCCAGCCACACTGGACCACACAGGATGTCCTCCTTGTGGTCCTCCAGGAATGGACACAGCATGGAACCTGCAGCAAACACATGAACCGCTATATTTAGGGCGGGTAATACACACATTAAGACTTTCACAATGTTAAACAACAACCTTCAGCCCTAAAAAGACTTTTATTTATTTTGGAATAGTGCCTTTCCAGTTGACCAACCACTCAAAGCGCTTAAACACTAAATGCCAACCTTTATACTCATGTTTGTTACCGTCTTTTTAGAAAATTAGAGACAGCAACATTTCTGAATCTGAAATAAAGCAAAAATGGTGTTATTTTTTACCTGATGTCTCCTCAATGTCCATGAACTGGATGTCCTCTGTGAAGTCATGCAGCAGAGGCTGTCCGTTCCTCTCGCCGTTAGCGTGGAGGACGCTGGAGAGGGGGAAGGAGATCTGTCTGTCCACCGCCGTCTCTGTTACAGACATCAGAGGCGAGAATCAGACACAAAGAGAGGATCCATATTCAATAGGCCACAATTCCTTTTAGCGGATATTGTAATGAAAAACAACACAAAACATCTTTAAGCACCTGGATCAAAACAGTTGCAAAGAACAATCTACCAACCTGCAGGTATGCATTCAGTATCGTCACTGTACTAAATACTTGACAAAAAAGATACCATCTCAAGGCAGTGTCCTTACCGCTGACTTTGCCCAGCCCGGGTGCTTTGTTCTTCAGTAAGGTGACCTGGATCTGAGGAATGTTGATGATGTTGGCATTCAGGAGAAACTTGAAGTCCACGTGACCCACCATGCAGGCCTTGGGCAGCACCAGCTCAAACACATGCTCGTCCCAGCTGGAGCTGCAAAGACAACACAGGTCACCGACTGCGACTGCTCAGATATTCAACTTAAGCACTGAAGATGACTTATTAGAGGAGGAGCCCTTAGCCATTTAACTGGGACACTTATTAAAGTGACTGCAGTCATACAGTTTAAAAAAAGTTGACGCTACCTGTCGCTCTGAAGCTTCCAGGTGCGTGTGTGTTGGGCTGCATCTCCGTGGTGCTGCTGGTGGAGGTGCTGGGGGTGGCGCCGCTGCTGCTGCTCTTGCTGCACCTCCGACCAACATGGCGGCACAGTGGCTGAGAAGCGGGGGATCAACGTCTCGAAGCGTGTCAGCTCCACCAGTGACATCAGGCTCTCCGTGGACAGCGGCTGGTCAACAAGGAGGTCCACTCCTTCAAATAGGACAGTTCAGCAGTTACAGCATCACAGAAGGGCAAAGAATTTACCAGTGAAATGTTTGTAATTGACAATCAGGCCCTGAACTCTGAAGTGGACAGCTACTGTGTGTGTGTGTGTGTGTGTGTGTGTGTGTGGTTCACCTGTTATTCCAGGGCTAGAGGGGTTGGAGGAGGGCTTGGCCCCCTCAAGCAGCAGTTCAGCCCCTTTAGAAAGGGGGCCATCAATAAACATGTCTCCATCATCTAGATCGTCACACACACCTCCAATTTGAAGGAAATGAAGTTCTCCACCTTCAAACGAGATACGAAACAAAATGAAAACCTACAAATGACTTCACTGCACTTTTAACTCTTACTTCAGTGTATTGATCTTGACAGTATACAAAGGAATCACCTGCAGGTGCTAAACCTCTTGAGTTAACAAAAGTGTTGAGAAAACATATATAAAGCCAGGCTGGACATTAAACTTGCTGATGAAAGTAGAAGAATAGTTTTTAGGACAAATTCACAGAACAGGAACAATGCGCTTGCTGAGTTCACAAAACTCAGAACATAAAAACATTATTGAAAAGGTTTTCTGAATTTTCTTTTTTAAATGTTTGATATTTCTGACAGAGACGTTAACTGGGAAGATGAGTTTACAGCTGAGTATACTATAAATATATACTGTATATTAGGGTTGCACCGATACATCGATGAGACATCGGCCGATGCTAACCCTGTTTACCACCATCGGCAGATCGGTAAACAAGGTGAAATGCTCCGATGTTTATGTTTTTCGCGGTGACTGGGAGAAGTCTCGTTAGCATCGTTGTTTTTAAATCTGACGGAAAAGATCTGAAGTCCGGGCATCATTTTTGAAGGATTAGAACTGTGACTGTGGTGGGGGGGGGGGGCTGCCCTCTCCTTTGTGAGGAGCTGCTGCTGCAGGGGGGGCGCATGCTGCAGGACTTCCGCCCTGTGTATCGGCTGTCTGCAGGATCGCTAAATGAAATCCAGCATTCAATGTTCTTGGGAGGCTGTTGTTTATAGTTGTTACTTTGTTGTACTGCTGCTACTCCCGTTAACTTCCAAAAACGTCTCTCTTGCTCGCTCTACACATGCACGCCACACGCGGGATAGGCTGCCCTAGTCTGCATTATGCTACTATTACAGTATATGAAGTAAACCTTGGCAAAATTGTTAGTCACTCCTACTAATATATAATATATATATATATATATATATATATATATATATATTATATATATATATTATATATATTCGCGTCGGGCCGAACCACGCCCCTTAGCTGTGATATAATGAGCATATACCACGGCCTGTCGTGAGCTATTGCTTAAATATACACCAGTGAGGTATATATATATCACTATGCTCTCATGGACTAAAATAATCAATTTGAAAACACATCTAAGGCTTTAAGGCACCTCAATTGTGTATCATGTTGCAGCTAATATAAAAGTTATAGTTCATTTGAATGAGAAAAACACCCTAAAAAACTAACAAGTATTGTGTATCAATGCTTTGTATATATTCTTCCCGTGTGCCACATAGCTTCACTTTTGATCAAAAAGTATGAAAAATACTTCAATGAACCACACTGTTGCACTGGATGAGATGTTCCATCATTACCACAGAGCATGCACACTTTAGTTCAATTTGACTCAATCCAACCAACACATCAGGCTCTCAGAATACCTCACTAGAGCCACACATCTTCAATAATATGCTGCTGAAAAAAAGTAAGACCTACTTTGAAAACCCAATTCATTAAACCCAATCGCAGCCCATCTGTCCCAGCAGTCAGCAGAACTGCAGTCGACAGAGAAACAGGCTCAGGAATGAAACACTAACCTTTGGTGCAGGCACAAAGGCGGTCAGTCCCCGAGCAATAGGTCACTGAGACAAAGGGGTCCGTCTCCTCTGCAGACCCCTCCTTCTTAGGCGGCTCAACCTTGGCCAGGACCTCCAACGTAGACAGGTCCAGTATCATTATATATCCAGCCCGTGTGGTCACCACCAGGTGGCCCAGGCCCGCCACCTCCACCCGCTTGCACTCTTTGTGGCTCATGCCAGAGGTGGAGGGGCCGGTGACAGTGCTGCTGGTTGTTGCTGCACCACATGCAGTCCCAGTACCAGCAGAGCCACCAGAGCCTGCAGGGGCCATTCCAAACCCAGAGGAGCCCTTTTTGGACCCTGAGGCCAGAGCCTCCTCAGGAGCCTCTTCATTGTCGTCCTCCCTGCTGTCGAGCACATCAGGAGGCAGCAGTATGAGGGAGGTGATGGCATCACAAGGGTCCCAGATCTGCTGCACCTTCACCGGTTCCTCATCCAAGGTGACGATACGGGTGGAGTAGTTGAGCTTGTAGAGTGCAAGATAGCCGCCGTTCCCACTACTTGGGGACCTCTGTTGCTGCTGCGGCTGGTCTCCTGGGGGGAGAATGAGGGGGGTCTGAGGCGGTGAGCCCCCTGAGTGGTGGCCTTCCACCCCATTGGCCACTGAGTGTAGACTGTCTCCTTTGCGCTGGCTGCAGAGTGCAGAGTGCAGGCGGTTCAGGTTGTTGAGAGCCTCCACCTGGTTTGTAGCACTCAGAGACTCTGTGCCACATGGCTGCAGGCCCACCAGGAGGTGCACACCGTCCCAGCAGGGCGTGATCGAGTCCACATAAAGGTTCTCCTCTTCCAGCTGTTTGGGAAGCCTCAAGCACTGCACAAGTGCTCCTGGCCGAGGGGGGGCGGAGGCCGTAGCTGCAGCCAGCGTGCTCCATTTGTCCATGTGACCATCCAACCCTGCCAGATTAGTTGCTGCATCAGCAAACTGCTGAATGTAAGTGATAGGAGGATCCTGAAGAAGAAGCTGCTCGTGTGTGTCAAACTCCATCTCTATAATCTGTGGCACAGTGAAGCCCTCCTCGTGGAGCCCCTTGCTCATTAGATTGTTCATTTGAGCAAACACCTGCCCTGAGGACTTGTCATCCACCTCTCTGATGCTGTACAGCAGCAGCACAGGTATAGTCCTGCGAACAGCCGGCAGAGACGAGGGGCTGGGGGGTTGGGAACCTACGAGGTTAGAGAAGCCCTGCTCCTGGGCCGCAATCTGGGGGTTACAGGTCTCTATCTCCATAGGGTCCTGGAGAGGCCCAGGGTGAAAGGGCTCAGGGCCGTGAGTCCTTAGCGGACCATCTGTGGTCCTGCGAGTTGAAGCTGGGGCTGTGGGCGGGGGTCCAGCCATGGGGGTGCAGGATGCTGGCCGGTAGCTGAGCAGGCCTCCGGCCAGCAGGCAGGGGAAGGGAATGTTGTGGTAGTCAGCCACCTTGTCCTTTGCTTTGGCCTGGCTGTGGGCCTTGGCTTGGTTTAGTGAGGGGTTGGCACCCAATTCCTCCAGGTCCTTAACCGTGTCCTCCAGCACACTGGCCACCACCTCCCACTGGAGCTTCTCCGGCTGCTGCAGCACACTCAGCGACGTCACCCCCAGGCTCACATCCATGCTCTCCCACTGGGACTGCTGGCCTGGAATAAAAACAAGAGGAGAGGTCTGTCATGTTCCTGATAATAGGTTGGATACATTTGTTTTTTAAACAAAAATATTGAAATAAAGTTGACATCCAGTATCTACATTGCTTTTGATATTGTGCATCCTAATTTCTGAAACACCACCAGCACTTAGAAAAAGTGGTAATTCATGTCTTCATACCGGTTAATGACTCTGATCGGGAATGCTCATCGCTGTCTGAATCCTCCAACTGGTCATCACTGCAAATTAAGAAGTGATTACAAATACATGACTAACATGATAAAACACAAACACAAGATTCCATCAAAGAAACAAGAACTGAGTGCTTGAGTCTTTTCAGTCATCCACACTTCTGTTGTTGTTGTTGTTTGTTTTGAGGATAGTACTTCAACTCTGTACAAGGTGGTATTATCCTAAATGATCTAGCTGGAAATCTGTCTTTACCTGTCTCCCTCTAGCTTGGGCAGGTCTGAGTAGGTGGAGGACTCCTCCAGCCAGGCCAGGGTTGGTCTGCGAGACTCGCTTTGTTGCTCCGCCCCCCCGCACAGAATCAGCTGCCTCAGGATGGCTGGGTCGTATGGATTGATGTCAAACTTCAAGTGCACCTGTTCAGCCCACAAAGACACACTCTTGATTCTGGGCCCATACCAACATTTACAGGCTGCCACCGATATCATTGAAAGTGAAACACAACGCATATGAGACAGTTTGATGCTTTAACATTTAGATGTTCTGACCCTCATCATTTTAGAGACGTCCCAGATGCAGATCTTGCCCCTCTTGGTGGCAGCAGCCAGAAACTGTGGACAGCTGCCGAAGCCATAGCAGGCGATCTTGTCCGAACTGTCGGGGCTGTTGGGAAATTGGGCAGGGCTGGTGGCCAGTGTCACTGACAGTGGCACATTCTGTGTGTGCTCGCCCTTCACAAAGGGACAATTGGGAGAATGTCGCTCGTGTTCAGACCTGGGGATAGCAGAGAAATGTTGGTCTTCATTCATATGTTATAGCTCGTAGCTAAATACAGGGTTCCTGCAGGTTTCGCCAACTCAAATTTAAGACTTTTTAAGACCTTTTTAAGACCACTTCGAATAGAATTTAAGACCTATTTCACGGCAAGAAAGTATGAAGGAAAATGGCTATGAAAGAAGAAATACGTCCCATAATTACTTACAAATCAAATGTATTCATGTTCAACATAAGAACAATGACTGAACATAACAGCATAACAGTACAGAACTGTGTTAGCCAAAAAGTGTGTATGTGTGTGCTTGTGTGTGTGTTAGGGCTGTGCAATTAATCGTATTTGAATCGCCTTAATCGTGGCCTGCCACAATTACAAAAACAACATAATCGAAAAAAACTATTATTTAGCTTTGCTAGGTTGTGTCAGTGCACTACAACATATTTGATCTAATTAATTTTAGTCTAATTTATTTTTATTTATCATATTTATATATGTTTAGTAGCTTGTGGAAGTGCGCTCCAAAATATTTGTTGATCTTGTTTATTGGTATTTATTATTTTGATATTATTTATTTAAATATATCATTTATTTAATTTATTTTTGTATTGGTTTTTCAGTTGAATTATACGTTCAGGGTAATCAACAGTTAAAAAGATACTGTTCAAATTATTATTTGTTTTAAAGTTCAATAAATGGATGTTTTCAAAGTCAATGAATAATCTTATTTAATAATCGTGATATCAATTATTGACCACAATAATCGTGATTATGATTTTTGCCATAATCGAGCAGCGTGTGTGTGTGTGTGTGTGTGTGTGTGTGTGTGTGTGTGTGTGTGAGAGAGAGAGTAACAAGAGCTATATTCAGAGCTCTGCTGCCTTGGCTACAATCTTTCATCGTTGCTGTTGTATGATTGGTGTTTAGCTACGGTATTTAGCGTATACACACACTACAGCATCTCCGCTTTTAGGGTTGACGTCGAAGACCCAAACGTCGCCCGGAGGTCCAACGGTGTTGTTGCGGGAGCTGCTGCACTAGCTAACGCTGCACTAGCTAACGCTATATTAGCCAAACAAACGCCAATTTCTTTTGCAAAAGGTGCAGCGGGCTTCAAACACGTTCCCCTCCACTGGTTTCAACCAAGCACTAAATTCGATGTTTTCCAACCAAATACGGTTGAACTTACACTTCCCCAAATTTATTTGTAAGTAGATTCGAAGAGACATGAGTTTCTGACTGCCGCTAGCTGAAGCTTGGTTGCTAGGTTACTAGCTGGGTGTTCTCCGTTAAGGGGCCGGGGGAAACAAAGTTAGTGATTACTGGTTCCATGTTGATTTATTTCAATACAAATTGTTGGGGGGAACTGAAAGGCTCTTACCGTACTGGTTACTTTGCAGCCCGGACAAGTCCCCCAAAACACATTTTAGACGCGATCGCAACACAGAAGTACCTTTCAAATCCCATCATTTTTAAGACCTTCTAAATCATATTTAAGACCTTTCTTATTTTTTTTGTCATATTTAAGACCTTTTTAAGGCCTTAAATTCAGATTATCAAATTTAAGACTTTTTAAGACTTTTTAAGACCCCGCGGGAACCCTGTAAATAAATGCATTTGTATTCAAGTTAACTCACCAGGGCTCATCTGTAGGTTCCCAACAGACCAGACACACACTGCAGGTGAAACACATGGCTCTGTCATCTCCTGTTGAGGCAGGCTATGGAAAGACAGGGTGGGACAAACACTTACACAGCCGCATTTCAACGACAGGTTTAAATACACAGCAAGCATAAACAGCACTGATATTACAAGAAATAGTAATGATTAATAAATGTCTGCACTGGACCAATTTGGTGAAGCATGCACAATGCAAGGCTGCAACATCCTGATTTTTAGGAAAAAATTGCTCAACAGTTTGCTATTAAGCTAACAGTGCTAACAGTACATCCTCCTGGCGGATAAAACAGCAGAAAACTCCGGTAAAGGCCCTTACACACCATGTAGATGTTCAGAGGTGGAGCAGTGTGCTTTTAAGTAAGGAAGACTTGGTGCACAGAGACTGTTATAATACATACAATGCTTACTTTGAAAGGGACCATGAGATGAGCTATCTACCAAGAGTTCACATCTATTGTTGTGTACAGCATTCAAAAGCTGTCAAAAATCCCCTCGACTGCATGCAAATGATTTGAATGTGCATATGAGTGAACCGATGTAAAGCTACAGACTGCTGTGCTCCTCTGTCAGAACCTACCTGGTGGTAAAACCCTGCTTGTGCCATTGGATCAGGCTGAGCCCACCTGTACCCAGCATGGGGCCACGATGTAAAAGTCTCCCTCCTGTTGGCCTCACTGTACATCAAAGACCTGCAGAGAACACATCAGGAACACGTTCAGTATTACGTGTGTAGGTGTGGAATGTATCACAGTTCCTGTTTTGTAGTGGACTGTTTACAATCAGTCATATGCGTGTTGTGTATCATAGATTACAGAGTGATGCTACAAAAGTTGTTTGATTTTTGGAGGAAGAAAAATCACTATTTCCTGCTTGCTCACCTATCTACAGAGCGCCCGGGGCCCACACCAAGCTCAGGCCTGGCGCTTGATAAGAGGTAGGAGAGCCTGTCCATGATGGATGAGGCCACAGACAAGGCAGCTACGTTCTGGTTTATCTTCTTGAGCTCATTGACAATGGCACTGGCCACCAGCTTCAGCACGTGGTGGGGAAGCTGGAGGGTCACTGTCGCCCACTGAAAGAGAAGCCAAACATCAGAGAGAGGAGAGATGGATTTAATGCCAGTAAAAGAAAAAGCAGATCACTAGGAGCTAGCTATATCATCATGGTGTGAATTTACAGTCAAGCAGACACTGGTGCAGGTATATTTGAGTACATGATGACTAGTGTTACCATTAGAGCTCAAAGAAGTAAACACATTCTTAAGTTCTTTAGGAAACAGTCACGTAAGCAATGACACTTGAGAAAGGATGTTGCTGTTTACATTGAATTGTGTTAATAGAAAATCAGGTCCAGAAAACAATTGAATAAGGTTATCTTTGTAAATATGGTTATTTCCTCCTTATTTTGCACAAGCCAAGTCACATTGTCCTTTGCTGTACCAAAACACACACAGCCCGTGTTTGGGCTCCACCAGGCTAGACATGTACACACACTGTACTGGATACACAAGGAAGACAAATAATATTGATCTGGTAACACGACATAGAAATAAACTGCCACTACATTTTGTATTTTGTAAGTTTAATGTGTTATCTCTCCTTCAGAACATTAGACTATTATTGAAACCAATAGGTTTAAAGTGCTACCTTGATGTGCTGGTGTTTACATCCCAGTAGCCAACTGTGACTAGAGAAGGCCATGTATTCACTGCTAACTTTATTAGATTGGTTTGCTTCAATTTGACTTTAGCATGTAGCATGGTTTTGTTTGATAAGGTAATCTACACAATTAAAGAGGGACCCCCAGTCAGAGAGTCCTGACATGACTTAATACTTAGCTTTAGCAAGATTCTGGCCCTAGTCATAGCTTGTTATTCTATCAATATGTGGGAGAGAAAACTAGCTGTGCCAACACGGCTGTGTTTAAACTGGCTGTGAGAAAAAACAATTACACCTCGGTTTGAAAGAAATTGTGTGAATTCCATTTGTATCCTAGAACGTACTTACAGGTATTTTGTACTTTTACCTATATACTTAAATCTAAAAGCAAGGAATCGGTCAAAGATAATGTAATCCAACACCATAACATAATATCGGTTTAATCAACAGCTCAGTGTTAACAATAATTAAATGTTAGCTTTACAGAGCACATATTCATTTAAGGCTATTGCATTGGATGGCAATACATTATACAAGTGTTCATGTTATTGTGTCCACCCTAAGGAACCTAACCTACAATGAATGCAGCTCTTCTATTGCCCAAAGGCAGTAAGAGAAGTAAGAGCAATAGGGACCCAGAAAGCAGAGGCAGTGGAACAAGTGGAATGAATTACTCTGCAGTACGCTGAGTGGCCTGAGTGGGAGGATCATTAGTCTTCCTTCACTGACTCCTCTCACATGATCTTCTAAAACATCCCATACTGAAACACGTGCGTGACTTTAAGGTGTCACTAACAGCTAAATGACATAACCCTAATGTGTTGATATTAGCATGGAAAGTAAGCATCTATTTATACAAGATGTAAAAAAAATGTCACCTTTTGAAAGGTTTCAGACTTACCTTGGCCACTTTGTGATTGGCTGCCGTCTCGTGTGAGGTATTCTTCAGGCCTTCTTTGAGCAGGGTGATAAAGAGTTCATAGCCCTCTGTGTTAGACACGTCAATCTTTTCCTGACAGGCTGACAGCATCTGCTGGGCCTAAAAACAGACAAACACACACACAGTCAGAGTCAGGTATTGGTACCATCTTCATAACAAATAAAGGATTTCATGGGTTGTTGAGACATTTATTGCATGATTATATGATTTCAGTCACATGTCACTGTAGACACATTCAGAACCAATTAACCTAACAAGTGGCCCCACAGAAAAGTGTCAGATCATTTGTACCTTAAATAATTAAATTGTTTAGGTACAGCTGTTGAGATGCAGTTGAATAGTAAGATATAATAGCAGATGAGTGCTCCTGTGTTTCAGCAGATGGTATTTTTCCACCAGCAATTGTGGCAACACATCCTTAAATGGCCTATGCAAGGCCTCTGTAAGCATCAGCACCAGAGTTTATTCCCTGCCAAATGTTGCACCAATGACAAAACATGGCTTGTGTAAATGTGCCTTGTGTAGTATCTAAAACAATTTGAATATACAGGTTGTGACATCAGGTCTTTAAACATCAATAAGTGTGATGTTTAACACACATTCTGCCAACATAGTCAAATGTTTGACTTTTATTTAGAACAACATAGTTTGTGTTAGCTGTTAGCAATTAACATAAACAATGAATGTTCCTGCTTGCTCCAAGGAACAACACCACCTGGGGCATCCACTGTTCAGGGGGCTTTGACTTAGTTGAGGCAATAAATTATTCACTTCAAAACCAGAGAAAGACCCAAACAGGCACTGCAGTAGTAATAACAATGAGCGGTTTAACGCGACCAAGGGCTTATATACTGAGGGAGGAATGAAAGAGTTAAGGACACACATCTTTAAAGGGCACAAACAAAACTGGTGTGAATATGAGGCGCAGTATCTCTGAACAGTGGTCCTTCACCTCTGTGACCGGCAGCTCCAGCTGGACTATGTCTTCCGGCTTTGCCACAGGAGGCTGCAGAGCTGTGTCCAGGAGCAGGATGCCATTCAGGTCCTTCCTGCATCCCACTGCATAGTCGTCCACAAAAAGCACCTTGTCCACTGCAGGAAAGTACTGACACCTGACACGGCCACCAGGTTTAGCTGTGAGAGGAACAGAAGATATCAGACAGTGTCAGGGGGTGTGAAGGAAGGGAGGCTGGAATTAAGGCTAAATATCTACCTGAAATACGGTTACATGTATCTTTGGTCGATTGTACTTTGAGATAATAATACAGGGAAACGTCCGTTATTCGCCATGTATGCTCTACCATCTTGAGCCAAACAAATGAAAGCCAAACCTTTTCATGGTCATTTTCTTATTTCTACTGTGGAATTGAAAACAGATATTTATTTACCATATTATACCATACTTTGCTTTGTGGTTTTACACAATATGAGTTGTGTTTATAGAAATGTACTTAGTCTTCAATTGAATTGCCCTGACAACAACTTAAGGTATCTCCCTTTTGTGTAGTCTATTGAAATGGTTGGTGATTGACACAAAGAGGGTTGGGTTGTTTGGAGGATGGGTAATGTTTGAAAGCTTGACAAAACAACCAGCAGCCTAACAAACAAAAAAACAGCATTATTATTATTAAACAACGAGAAGAGTATCTTTGAAAATGTAGGCATTTATATCTAAGCGTATATAATTCACATACAATCTACAGGCTTCCTACACCTTTTACAAATTAAAATGTAAGCACTTTTCAAGCATTCAAGGGGTCAGTTTCAAGCTTTTCAGGCAAAACACACTTCGCTATACTGAAGACTCGGAGTTACCTTTACAATATTGTAATGCAACTAAGTGCCAAAATACTGGGCACCTTAAGGTAAGTATCCAGTCCTTGGTGAATTCACAGAAGTCAAAAACAATTGAAGCAAAATAGGATTTGTAAATATTATAATGGTAAGCAGAAATGCAGTGAGGGGCATTGATCATAATGTTGTTGTTTCTTATAAAATGTAAAATGTGACAAATATGGAAATCAGCATTGAAACACCCAAACATTGTGTCAGGATCTTTCCATTCCATCTCTGGTTTTGTCATCCTCTAGTAATGGATGTGACAACACCAGAAACCAGACATCTAGAAGTGACATAACCATGCATTCGGGTTCAACTGGGATCAACCATCTATCACCCCGATCGACAGACATCTGATGGTGACAGACGCAACATCAGTCCGGACCTGGAAACCAGGAGCCGGTGCAGTAAATATATTGAGATTCAAGTCAATTTAAAGTAAATTGATTATCCAACAGCTCAGTATTGCATGTACAGTGTCACTTTTATGTACAATATAAACAGCTTACACTGGAGCAATATTTGTATCAATATTAGCTGTTTGCAGAAAAGTCATACATTTGTAACGACTTGTGCTTTCACAGGGTTGCATGGGGCTGTATCCCAGCTGACATTGGGTCAGAGGGGGGGGGGGGGGGGGGGGAAGTTACACCCAGGGCTGACACACAGAACAGACAGATAACCACTGCAGACATGACAGACTATCATGTTTAGAGAAAAGGTTGGGTGCAGTTGGTTGCTTATAAGACTGTTACTTTGTTTTGAAAAGTGAGAAAAGGCATGTTCTTATTATTATTATTATTATTATTATTATTATTATTATGATGATTACTATTATCATCATCATCATTATCATAGTAACTCCGTCAAACGGAGATATGCTACATCTCGAAAGGCATATGACCCAATCCTCCAATAGGTGCGACCATCAAACACAATGGGCAGTACAAACTATCACAGTTCTACAATCAAGCAGTATTTATGTGAGAAACTGTGTGTGGCAATACTGTTTACAGTCAACAGCCTCATTCACAACAACTTGAATACTGACTGAGCTATGGGTTCTTAATCACAGTAAACACTTCATATGGAAAAAGGTACTAACCAACAATCTTAATTTTGTTCAACGATATAAAGGCAGGGTGAAGGCTTTTCTATAAATACTGACATCCATCCGCATCTTCGCACAATTTATGATGTTAACAATTGTAAACACCCAAACCATGTGTTCAAGAAATTCTCTCAAGCTTTTAAAAGAAAAGCGCTTTGCCCCATGTTATGATGTGTAAACAGAGCAGAGGACTGTGATCAGCATTGCAGTTAGCAGGTGGGTGTGGAGCACAGCTTTTGAAAGGAATTTGGAAACTTTGAATGTTATGTACATGTCAGTAACATTGTGACTGTACTGTGCACACAGATGTGCAAAACAAACAAGACAAGTGTGAGGCTGGTTGTTTGACTGAATTAGCCAAACAAGCATAGCAAGCAAATATTGCTTAATTCCACCCAGTGGTGTAAAGTAGCCAAGTACATTTACTCAAGTACTGTACTTAAGTAGAATTTTGAGGGACTTACTTTATTTGAGGATTTCAATTGTTTTGCTACTTAGTACTTCTACCCCACTACAATCAGAGGTAAATTGTTTAATTTTACTCTAATACATTTATTTAGTACCTTTACAGATCTGGATGAATGATCTGAAATATAATCAAGTCTTAAATCAGACTTTAGTTCCACCTGGAGTAAATTCACAAGCTACCCTGCAGTATACAAAGTCATTCAAACTAGCTGCACCTTTACCAGCTTTGATAACACTTTCATGATATAATCATGTTATAATCTCATGTTATAATCAAAACATATGATATGAATTATTCTGAAATTGGCTGATCTGCATAATGTATACTTTTACCTTTGGGTCCTTTAAGTATATTTTGATGCTAATACTTTTCTACTTTTACTTGAGTACAATTTTGATTGCAGAAGTTTTACTTGTAACAGAGTATTCCTAAACTCTGGTACTTCTACTTTTACTTAAGTATAAGATCTGAGTATTTCTTCCACCTCTTATTACAGAAAACTGCAACATCAAGAAAAGCTTACTTTCCGCATCAGACCGATGCTTTCAAATGACTGACAGTTAACACCATAGGCTGTGGAGTTAAGCAGCTAAAGTGCCGCTTGCTAGCTTAGTGGCTGTCACAGTAACTCCCATATCCATGATGTAACGTTACTACCTTAAACTAGCTAACATTAGGTTTGCTACATTAGTGCCTCGACATGAAGTGTCAATATAACGACATATCGTGACTGACCACTAGAATGACAGGAACTGTCAGGAAAGGTTGCCCAGCTAACTAGCGCTGTGCTATGTTAACCAGCTAGCTATTAGCTTGCATGGTATATGACATAACGGTGGTAAACAGGAGCAAGCACAGACGCTGGAGAAACACTACTGTACATTTGAAGATAAACCACTCAACGTCCAAAGACGATGTAAAACCAAAACCAAAAGGAATCCTGTACAAATAATGTAACTAGGCCCAAAGAACACTACTAGGAACAGCTAGCGCTAGCCTGTGTCGTGTTTAGCGTTAGTGTGTGTTGACAACCAGAGGCTGGTTTCTCACACTGTTGGTGTCAGGGCTGACAGAGGACTCGGATGCTTACCGTGCAACGCTGAAGCCTGGAGAATGGCCCCCGAAGTGCCGTCTATGACTTTAATGCTGCCGCGGCTGGTGACGGCCAGGATAGCGTTGAGGGCCGGGTGGTAGGAAAGGCTTCGCAGGCCCTCCTCGTCGCAACGCAGGCAACCGTCTCTCAGTACAATCCAGTCTGAAGAGGTGGACGAGCCGGAGCCCGGCGAGGCCGCGGCCGCCATCTTTCCTTATTTCCCCTTCCCTTCCTTTCTGGCGTTTGTAATGATCCGACGATACAATAATACTGGTAATTTTATAAGACTATCTGCGTACTATTACTCCTCTGCCACTGCTGACTCCTTCTGCGGCTTCTTCTCCTCCGCCCGTTACCGCAGCAGTGGCTATTCACCATCAGCGCTGAGGAACTCCAGGCTAGGCTTTCTGTCAGTTACACGATAGGTAAACGGAGCTAGCGTATCTCTTCGCCACTTCCCGCGATAACACCAAGTGAACACGAGAACAGCGGCTGGAATACATAATAAGACCATCAAAATAATAGCTCTGCAATGAACTGATTGATTGATTGATTGAAAAGTTTATTAACAGCTTGTATATTGGGTACAGTACAGTACAGCTCAAAACATACAATTGTTAAGGGGATGCAGACCAGAGAAAGACTTTCGTCTTGTTTACATCAGGGTCCCCCATTTCCAATTCATCATATCATTTAAGACATATGTGAACAACCGTGAAAAACAAGTAGCCATGTTTCTTTTAATGTAAATGCAGAACTGATGCAGTCCAATTATAGAACACAAACAATTACTTAACACACAGTTTAATTAAAACTTCATATAAGAGCCAGACCGAGTTTTATTTCTTATTTCTATCTTTAAAAGTGGAACTTTTACACTTGTAAACACTAATTTTAAAGATATAAATAAGAAAATAGAGCCGGGAAAAAGTGATAAATTATGTTTTTGAACACCATGATTTATCCATAAGACTAAACAGCAACGTATTTTTTAAATAAAAATGAATAGGTTTTGCCTGCTACACTCAATGGTGGAGGATGTAATATTCTGATTGGTGCAGGACACACATTTATGAAACCGAAAGATACTATACATGTGCTGAAGTTTCTTTAAAGGGGACCTATCATGCAAAATGCACTTTTGTACGTCTTTTATACATGAATATGTGTCCCCGCCCCGGTGTTCCAGGGAACTCACCAAGTGTCAGAAAACACAACCCTCTCTATTTTCCTCCATACCCAAATCTCTAAAAAAGGGGCTGCAACAGATCTGATCAAAACTGATCCAGATTTGAACACTGTCCTGACGTCAGGACAGTGGCGCTACGACTATTGGGCCAACTCCACCAATCAAGAGGAGACAGCCACGGCCAGAGTTGGGTGTAAAGCGCTACAAAGTAACGCGTTACTGTAATAATATTACTTTTGTCGGTAACGGAGTAGTGTAACGCGTTACTTTTATAATTCAGTAATCACACTACAGTTACTAACATTGCCCCGACACGCGTTACTTCGTTACTTTAATAATCACACTGACAGACAAGAGGGGTTTCCGCCGCAGGTTTATATGTACGTAATCTGCGCGACTTGCACGTCCACATCTCCACGTGCAGTGCTGCATAAACATGGCTGAGTCAGCGATAACTTTCGAGGGGTGGAGGTATGCCCATTATTTTGAGTTCGTCCGAAGAATAGACAGGAATGTGACGGTGAGGTGCAAACTGTGTCCAGGCCAGAAGCTGTTATACACTGCTGCAAACACCACGTCAAACCTCAACAAACACCTGCAAAGAACACATGCTAAGGTGAAGCTAATAGCTAAGGACCCCCGAACCCAGAGTGAGGATGTTGTGAGTGCGCCGCCGACGACTCCGAAGCAGCAACAATTACCGGTAACCAAAGCAGAGATGGACAATGTGCCCATTTGCACAGTGGAATCACCATCGCATCGTTCAGAGATATGCTGCGCAAAATACAGATAGCAGGAGACAGAGGACAGCCATAGTCAGAGCTATCTGGATCAGTCTTATGCGACAATGGAAACTGAACTAAAGAGAACATTTCAAACTTTAGCAGTCTGCGTGATCTGCCTGTAGGGAGGGGCGGGCCGGCCCTGCGAGTAAAGTAACGAGTAAAGTAACAAGTTACTTTATGTAGAGAGCAACGAAGTAGTGTAATATATTACTTTTTTTTAAAGTAATATGTAATATGTAATATATTACTTTTTTGTAGTAACGACCCCATCTCTGGCCACGGCCATTGCCGTTCGAAAGCGCTGGAGACGCTGTAGTACATATGCCAGGCCTGTAGATGGTGCTGTTCTCACTGAATCTGCCCTTGCAACTAAAGAGCTAAAAAATGTCAAATTGAGCAAAATGAGGCATGGCTAAAATGCATGATCTGTTCGGTATTTAAAAAAAAAAAAAAGTATAAATATGCCTTATATAGGTATGGTCCTACACTATATTATTCAAATATAGCATGATAGGTCCACTTTAAAGGAGAACACAGGACATTTAATTTATAGAACAGACATGTATATCGTAGTCAGAGGATACACACACATGCTATTTTGATTTCACATTTAGTGGAAGTTACCCAAAGTTCACTCCACTACTTTTTGACCCCTAAAATCCAGCTTTATAGAACCTCCAATCAGAACATGCTTTGCATACAAAGCATTGTACTAAAGCTCTCCTTTCTATGACCGCAGCCTGTACAGTTGTGCTCTGTACTGTGAAGACCATTTTACAACGAATAAAGGTAATTAAAAACAATCATTTGGTGGATAATGACATTGTTTGGGAATAACTTGAGTGTTTAGTGGATCTCATTAGATGTAGTAAACAATATCATGTGCTCTTCAGGAACAATTGTAATAACTTTGATGATCTGGTGACTTTTTCATATAACAACTTTAAGTAAATATTGTACAATATTGGTTTATATCAAAATACCTGCTTGACTAATGACATTCCCATCAACCACAGCTGTTCTTTTTGTTAAGGGCTATCAGAATCAGAAATCCTTTATTTATCCCGCAACGGGAAAATGTACATTATTATAACAGCAGATAGTGCAGGTAAAGTGAGGAAAAAAATTGCTAAGTATGCAACCGTTATTAATAACACAGGTACCAAAATAATTTGGAAACAATCATAATAATGAGCTGATGTTAGCATGTTATTATAATGTTCAACACCAAAGCTGCCTTTTAGTTAGCATGTTAGCATAGTCATTGTGAGCATGTTAGCATGCAGCAAGCCTCACAGAGCCCCCAACAGGACTGTAGTTGTGTTGCCGCTTGTGAGACAGCCTAAACTCTGGGTTAATAGGACTGTTGGGGGTGACAGTATTAACTGCACTGTAGCTGTTGTCATGGTGTACATGTTATCGCGTGCGTGCGTGCGTGCGTGCGTGCCTGTGTGTTTGTGTGTGGTGGGAAAATCCAAGTCAATTGAGGGCAGATGGGAGAGGTGGTATATGGGGGGGCTCCTGCTCTCTTCAGTTTGCGGACGAAGTAGAGGCACTGCTGGGCTTTCTTGGCGAGTGACGTGGTGTTGATGCTCCAGGAGAGATCCTCAATGATGTTCACCCCCAGGAATTTGGTACTGCTCACCTGCTCCACAGCAGCACCACCGATGGTCAGTGGGTTGGGTGTCGTTTCTCCTGAAGTGAACAACAATCTCCTTTGTTTTCCCCACGTTAAGGAAGAGATTGTTGTCTATGCACCGCGTGGCCAGCTGGTTCACCTCCCTCCTAGTCAATAGTATGAAGCTGCAGCCTCGGAGGCTGCACTCTCAGGACCACACTCTCAGGACCACACTCTCAGGACCCTAGTTGTTTTGCAACATCGCCACCTAGCGGATTGGATGACCGCAAAAGTACAACCAGCGAGTATTGAGTCTCATACACTGCGAGTCTCTTTAGACATTGTAATGCTTGTTATTAACCATCTAAAAATGCATGAAAATATGTTTTTCTTACTGAAATTACATTATTATTATTATTAACAACAAGTTGTTGTTAATATGTTTTTGATTTTTAATAACAAATGTATTTTGTATGTCAGATGTAAAAAGATAGTCTTTTATATTTGTCTTATCAAATTTGACATACAACATAAATATATATATATATATTGTAGTAATAATTATATAATCTATTTATAATTGTAAATGTATATTGTATGTAGACATACATTTAGATGTATATTTTGTTAAAAGAAAACTGTTAATTTAGTTTTTGGGAGAAGGGGTGGGGTTAAATAAGTGTAAACTCCTTTGAATCAATTTGATACTGCTTATGTTTCTACAGTATCATAATTCTCTTGTTTCATTTCATTATTATATATATTTTTTTTATTGTATTACACGTTCGAAATAAATCAAATCAAATGTGTCTTTGAAGAGGTGCTAGATTACTCAAAAACAACTGTTAGTGTGTTTATGCACCAGGCTGCAAAAGATAAACATGCAATTTGACGAGAGGAATTTCAGTGCATACATTTTTATTTATTGGGCACTGTGGATTGTTCACTGGGGTGAGGCGGGGTCTGCTGTTCCCTCAACCACCAGACAACAGCTCCAGCTGCAGTACCCCGGGAAGCCCTCTTCTGAGTAAAAACCCTGCAACACTCCTCGCCGTCCACTTCCCCGGTAGCCTGTGCCAACGTCCTTATAAAGGTTGTCGCAGTAAAAGCACCTGGAAATTTGGTATTCCTTCCGAAATTCCCTTTTGTGTCCCTCTGAGAAGACATTCCAGTTGACGACACCTGAAGTAGAATGTCATAAGAAAATTACAATTCAGACAGAAAAACAACAAAACCTTCCTTAATTTAGCTGACCTTACTCTTAGTCAGTTAGTTAGTTTTGAAATACTTTCACAGACAGACATAAATTAGGCCTAATTGTTAGATTCTGACACGACAGATTCTAACCTACAGAATAGACCGACATAATAACTGACTAAAACACCTCATGCAATATTACAAAACATGTCAAAATGATGAGACTGTCTGATAAACAGTAAACAGGCAGTCAGCACAGTTAAGATTATTTACAATGAATTCAAATAGTAATACAATGACTATTAAAGAAGCATTTACACTGAAGACAGAACTTATATTAGGCTACTGCTGATTTAATGTAGCGGACAGACAGATCATATTGACATGCTTTTGTCATCCTTTGAAGTTTAATTAATTAG